ATGTCAGTGTCAAACGTGGCTCTCAGCCGACCTTTCAGCGCCGTCGGCTGAGCCCATAAATGATGTACTTGTAACCGCGTAGATGTTTAAAAATGAAGTCATCCGTGCAGCCGAGGTGAACCCTGCTGCTTCTAAACTCCATTCACCAACTTCCTCACGTGGACAGGAAATCGTCCTGCAGGTCCACGAAATACAACAGGAGTCCTACGAGTTTGTATTGAATCATGTTCACACCAGGAGCCAAAGCCAAAAGACGGGAGACTCAACAGGAAGCGACGAGCGAACGCATTTCTGCCAATGCTGCGGCAACCAAAAACAACACCCCTACGTGTTTTTTCTTCTTCTTCTTCTTCTTCTTCTGCAGAGTGACACAAGGGTTGCGTCCATGTGTCTTCGGGCCGCGGCGCTGATGGAGGATCCGCCAGCAGTGCAGGAGAGCTGTCCGAGGTGTTTGAAGAGCTCCATGCTGACTGTAATGTCTGCTGCCGGTGGGAGGCACTCAGCCCGTGTCAGATCTCTCTCACTTAATCACTTAGACATTATCCTCGCCTGTCGGGCCGGGAAATAGAAGCTCTGGGAGCTTTGTTCTTTGCTGAGACTTGGAACATGTTTCCCTGACATCTTACTTTCAGTGAAAGTACAGCGTTGTTTGGCGCCGCCGCTTTAGTGGTTGCCAGCGAGGCCGTGCGTCAGTCAGTCAGCCGCAGGGGTCGGGGAGCCGTCCACATCTGTACGGGACACAGACGTCCAAATGGCTCGGAACGCATTGGTGGGAGAAACAAGACGCTCCAGAGTCTGTTAGTGGCTCCGTGAGGCTCTGAGCTTGTAGCTTGGAAGTAAATGCTTATGTCAGCATGCTAACATGCCCACGGCGACAACGTTAGCGTTGTGAGCAGTTTTCATCTGCACCTCCGTCGCCATCTTGAAGCGCGCTCGTTTTCTCCACCGGCTCCTTTTGCTCGAAGGAGAAATTCGCCTCAAACCTGAACCACTTCAAGCAGGTTTGTTGACCTAAAGAGAATTCTGGCAGATGCAAACGTCGCCCGAGTGCGTTCATTTTCTGAATCCAGTGTACAATGAAAGCTCAATAAGCCAACCAGGGCACGAAGAGAGGGCACATTCCTGCGTTGGTGTCTTGGTATTAGTACAACAGTCATGGTCCAGACGCTCGAATCCTCCCAATCCGCACCCCGCACATATTATGCTGATGTTTTTATGTGTGTCTCCACCCTGCTCAGGGTTGACTGATTATGGTCCCATCTGACCCTCGGGCTCATAAAGCTACTTGACCCCACCTCATGGGACAAACGGGGACGGTTTGCTCAGCTAAACTACTTTTCTTGTGTCCCGAATCTGCTCCATTTTGTTCTTCACGTGAGCAAAAAGGGTGAACATGAGGTCAGGTCGACAATGGCTTTTCTTTTTTTTAATTGTCCTCAAGCATGCTTTTAAGAATTTGCACTCACGGTATGTTTTTTATTTTAGGACGACCTGATCAGCAGGTCAGTTGTCATCTTCCTGTGAGCGCTCAAATAAGCAAAGATGTCACTCAGGCCAAAAACCAGGCCAAGCATTCGCTGTGTGACGTCAGCAGCCAGCCGCTGCGCGGCCGAAACACGCGTCTCACGGCCCAGCGTTTCCTGTGGCGATGGGAGATCTTTTTAAGCACCGGTATCCTCACCTGATCCTTTCCGGGATTACACAGAAATCCATCTGGTCGGCCTCGAGGTGGCGGCTTCCTGTCGGGACCCATCGGGGCGGATGCTGCGGAAGCATCAGTGGTGTCAGAACTACAGTTTCTCATTGAAAGGAGAGCGAGGAGCGGCTCAGAAGGCCTTTCTCAAACCACCCTCAACACAATGCAGAGCCAGCGGAACTCTGGAGGCCTAAATAGTGTGTGTGTGTGTGTGTGTGTGTGTCACGGAAGGGGTGCACTTAAGATGCAGTCATCCTCTGCCACTGTTCCGAGTTGTTCAACTGAACTTTCTCCCTCTCTCTCTCTCTCTCTCTCTCCCTCTCTCTCTCTCCCACACCACACACACACACACACACACACGGACAGACGTACAGCAAACACACAGACAGTCATGCATGAAACATAGTTTGCATTAAATACTTGATGAGGTGTGTGCGGCTGTCAGGCGTCTTTCTGCAGCTCACTGAGAATAGTTGTCACATCCAATGAACAATTTTGTCTTGTTTAACGTCTCGCGAGCCTTAATGTGGCCCTGAGGTACAAGTTCTTAACAACCTGCTTATGTACTTTTACTGTACATGTCGATCCATTAAATCCCTGTACAGAAAAAGTACAATAACACAACTCTGAGTGCTGACAAAGGTTTGCTTTTTATCTGAACACATTTACACACATGTAGTTCTTTGCTCTGGCGGATGAATACACATCTGGTGCTCTTATGACTTCCAGTCAGTATTTACTGCAGCAGGATGAAATATGAGGAAATGACTCAAAACAAACTTGTCATCCAGTGCAACATTTTGGCTGGTTTTGATGTCATTTTTGGACATAAACTGCAGTGTATATCACAGAGGAAAAGAAAATAGACAGGCTGTCGATTCAGGTCTTTTATTGGGGTCAATTGAGTAAGAAGAATGTAGAAATACACCAGCTTTATTAATTAAATATGTTCCAATTATGTAGCATTTCCTGTTTATTTGTTTTTTTATACAATGAGAAAAACAACAATTAATTACAGTTACATATTGGCTTTTATCTCACTGTACACAGCTACGTGTATTCGCACACTGCACAAGTCACACACACACACACACACACACACACACATCGCAGGTCTCTGGAGCTGCACCTTCAGGCCAGATTAGTTTGAGTGACTCAGAGGCAACTCTCCTGCTGTGTAATTGAACACAACTAGTGTGGCCTCTCTGTTCACAAACTTACACACACACACACACACACGCACACACACGCACACACACAGATGCGCGTTGTGGTTTCTGTGTTGAAAACCCACATTGTGAGGAAAATGTGTGGAAGAAAAGTGAAATGGGATTATTAAAGCGAGAGTAAAACGGGGGAGAGGAGGGGGGAGGTGGGGGGGGACGCACGGCGGAGGGGTGAGGCGAATAAAAGCAGGGGCGCCTGGTCTTTCCTTAAATACTCCTGCTGAGACGTTGCACCGCTGATCCCAACGGGGAGAGAGGGGAGGCGAGGGGGTGCGTGCAGGGGGGGGGAGACGGAGACAGCGATGAAGACGGAGATGAAGGGAAAAGCAAGAAGAAAGGGACGCAGAAGCTGCTGGACAGAGAGAGGACGGTAACGAGAGGGACGGCGAACGCCGGCGGCCTTCAAAATTCAGAATTAGGAGAAGTGTGACGGACAAAGATTTGACTCGGACGAGATTTCAGTGCCCCCGTCGCTTCTCCGGGTGTCAGGTTTCATCTCGTCAAAACGGTCAGTCCACCGCGTACCTGTAAGAGCAGCAGAACCGCTGTCAGCGGCCCACCGGCCCACCGGCGCTCCGCTGACCTCGCTGACAGTGACGCCGGCCGTCTGAGGGATCCGCAGCACGGAGACGCCGCTCCAGAGGGCTCAGAAACACTGTGTGTGTCTGTGTGTATCTGTGTGCACATGACAGCTCTCACACACACACACACACACACTCACACACACACACACGCAGACTGGCCTGAGGTTCAGGCTTTAACTCAGGCCGACAGTCACGACACACGCGCGAGAGGAACGCTGTGATGTCACTGGGAAAACGCGCACACGTCGCTAGGACGCTCTGCATGCAGGGAGGTTTTTGCCGAGAAGAGAAAACTAGCAAAAATGAAACCAGCGTGACTCAAGGAAACATTTTTGGAAGCACGTGCTAAGCTGAATACATGATTTGACATGAATTTAAAACATTTTTATAATACTGAGTTCCCTTCTTCTCCTGGATCAAACTGTGAATCCCTTTTTTTTGCGCCACATAGTTTCATGATGTGTTGTAGAAGAGGAACGAGATGAGGAAGAACTGATGAGATGTAATTGATGTACATGTTTGTGTTAATCAGTCCATTAAGCGTTAAATAAGACTTATTTAAGAAAAATACAGTCCTTCAACTGGACTCGAGCCACACTGAAGTAATTTTAAGGGCTCATTTGACCCAACAGGGTATTAAGTCAATGCATCACTTACTCTGTGTATGTTAATGATCTTAAATCGGATTTTTATGTGTCAACCGTGAGTCAGCTCATTACTCGTATTAATTAGAATGGACCGCCATGAGTTCATACGTCATGCATTTATTCATGCATTAAATCATGCCGATTCTAGCACTTATTTTAAGGCATGAATTGTAGATAGGTCACGTACACATAAATTAAAAATAACATCTCTTTTTACAGTCAAACACTTGGAACGATGCAGGCACTTGCAAATGACATTACTTTATGGAGCGTGAGAGTCAAGGAGCATCTTGTCCTCCTTCGGTGAGGTCCGACTTTGAGACGTGGACGGGTTTTAAAGTATAGGCTAAAAATAAGGAGATGATAACTAAACTACCGCACGACCCTCACTCGTGTATTATGAATTCATAATTCAAACAGCAGCGCCGCACAGAAGCCTTTTGTTTCACCGTCGCCGCTGAGGTGGAGCACACGGAGCACCAGTTCAGACCTTTAGAGCCGATCTGAACGCTTCTTAGCAAAGATATGATGTCTATACGATACCTTTCAATACATGTGGAGAGTTAATAAACAGTATTTTTATTGTATTGTTTACAAATCCACTAGGCCTGGCCTAGCTGTATAGACAGCTGGGAGTTAAATAATTCAGAAAACCTCATTTCTGGGTTATAAAATTAATTTTACATCCGTGTCAGAGCAGACTAGATTACTTCTCTGTATCCATGGATCACTGAACGGGCCTACAAGGCAAGACGTCACTAGAAAGACACGCACTGACCAGGAAGAGAGGAAAAATGACTAGAGAAAGACACAAAGAGACTCACAACAAATAATAAATAACACTGTATAATACTGTATATATTGTTTATTTATTCATACATTCTGCTCCATGTATATTTTATCCTGTGCATAGTACGTTGAATCTAATCTAATCTTAAACTAAGGGACAAAAAATGACTTCAAAGACACTCAATGCTCAGAATGACTTAATAGAGGTCAACGACAAAAAAAACTGCATATGAAGGCAAAATAACCCCAAATTGACCACAAAGAGACAAAACCACCATGAAGTCTGCGTGTCCCGCTCTCACTGGTGGGGTCTTCTGCACGTCGGGGCCCAGGAGGACATTGTCCCGTAATCCGCCCGTGCACGGACTCCCCCCGGAAACTATCTCCAACTTCCCTCAGAAGGCCCACGGGGGGACTCCCGGGTTTAGGGGGTGACTTGATGTGGGATGAGTGAACACAGCTTTCCCCCTCAGAGGCCGACAGCACTGACCCCGGCGCCTCTCGCTCTCAGACAGGAAACCTCAGGGGGAAAAAAGGGGTGTTATGCCATTTTCTGAATCCACAAAACACATTTCCGAAGGATTATCGAATTCTCCAGACGTCTCTGTTATCTGTGTGAGGACAAGCTGTCGGTTCACTGCTCCGCGGCCGGAACAGATTCAACGTATAGATCCCCCTGCGTCTGGGTAATAATGCTTGAGGGCGGTCTCCTCTGCAGTCTCAAGGCCGAGACAGATTATTGATGCCCTTGTGGAATATTTCAGTGTCCAGTAGCTCAAACAGTCCGAATTTCCATATCAATACAGATTAGATGACTTAAAGAAGAAAAGTATATGAATATGTAAATAGATCAAGTGTGCTAATAAATTAGTATTAGGGTACAGGGGGGGGGGGGAGTGATGTAGAGCCTGCTGGCTATATGGAGAGAAAACGATCACGTGAACCGATCACAGCCGCCGCTTCCTCCGGCTGTCCTCCGCCCCTCCTCCGCCCTTCCTCCGCCCTTCCTCCGGCCTGCCGGGGTGCTGTAGTGGGGATGACTGACCTTGTCTAGGACGCCGCCACCTTATTCCACATGCATATTTCCAGCACAATCCCCAGTGGGTCCAGACTCCTGCCAAGCACCGAGCCAGCCCTTTTCACCAGCTTATCCGGCCCCCCGTGTCCTTGTCTGTCAAGCCTCCTCTCCAGCAGACCGCAGCATACAACCACCTGATAAAGAATTAAACATTTTTTTTCGTCCCCCGATGGACATCTGCGAACAAAGACCCGTCCAGCGTGTGGTTAAGATGCACACAAACGTGTTTGTAATCACCTCAATGTCCCCTCCTCGAACGTTGACTGGCTGAAGAGGGGCCTCAGACCACCGTGTCCTCTTGGAGGTGTTCAGTGGGCGCGTGTCGAAGGCCTTGTTCAGAACCCTGTGTGATCTTCTGGATTCAGAGTTGTACTTAAGGCCTACTGTGGACAACATCAGTAGAAGGGGAACCAAACCAGTTCCCCTCCGGGGTCCCAGGGACACGGTTTTCCATCCTGACGAGCTGTGGTCTCCCTGTCCGGGTAATTAAGGAAGCAAAGGACGGATTCACCAACATCCCCTCAAGCTGGATGCTCTTAAATGCACTTGAAGAATCAAAAAGAGGGGATCCTTACGTAAGCACGTCTGAGCATGTAGAGGTTCGTCCACTTCAGTGTGTTCCTAGTATGCAAAGTGCAGGGCGGTCTAGCGCGTGTTTGACTCACTGGGGTGCAAAGCTGTTGTCGGATGTTCAGCGATTTGAACCCGTCAGTAAGCCCCGCCCCCTGTTGCTACTCCATCAAACGGTAGAAGTCTTATTTTGAATGACTATAATCTCCAAATCCACACAACAAGCCTGCAGATTAAGAAAAATCAATTGCATGAGAGTCCATGGAGGACGCTGGATAGCTGTCAGACCTTGGGTTGAGCTGACAAATGCTTTTCAACTTTACGTCACGGCTGCTTTCTGCAGTGACCGTCCAGCCGTGCACAGATGCACTGTAAGAATAAACACAGCTTCACAAGCTCACACTGTCTGGAAATGGATGATGAGTTACTGAATTATTTTACAGATTGACTGCAGATCACAGATTGATTGAGATAACCACATGGCTGCAAATATTTTGAAAGAGTCAGTAGTACATAGTTGTTATTCCTGCTGTCTATGCTCACCAAAAATACACATTGCAAACAAATGTGAGAGTAATTTAAGAGATGGGGGGGAAAACATCCTGAAAGCCTCATTTTAGCGTTGGCTAAATTCCACAGTACATTTGTACATGTGGATCTCGTCTCTTGCATTGGCATCCCGGGCTCGCCACAGCGCGAATAAATCATTCAATATACATAAAAGCACGTCGGTATTGTGATCGGTTTGAAAGATTCAGTACTTCTCCTTTAAGCACAACAGGATGTCAGCATGACTCTCATCCTCCTCGGGCCCTTCCACTTACCACAGGTGTAATCTCACCGAGAGACAAGCAGACTTGTCATCAGTAATATTCCACGTCATTCATCCTGCTCAATTTATTCTATAGAGTGTCCGTGGCAATCGGGCCTCTCCGCTAAGGTATGAGCGAAAGAGAAACCGACAGAGACTCGGACCCCGGGGGCTCATACATCAATGGTCGTTCACATGAGCAGTCAGCTCGCCATTCTTCATCATCATCCTTCCTCAAACCAATCACAGACCACCTCCTGGCTTACAGAACCAACCGCGGCTGTGGGGACGCCGCCGCTAACCTCGGGCCTCCAACGCGTCCATAGTTCAGCGCCTGGGTGCCCCGCCGGCCCCCCGGGCCGGCACGTCGCCACAGACACGGGTGAACTCCACAAGGTTATGTCCTCTCCCCAAATCTGCGCCAATGGCCCCGTCCGCTGCCACGCTTGGGTCCAAGTCCTCCGCTGACTCCGAGGGTCCCGGGCCTCCCGGGACAGTGGTGAGGCGGCCTACAGGAACACCGTGACACAGCTTGGCAGCACGGAGTACAGATGACAACCGAGAGCTCAACGACTGCTCACTGAGATCAACATCCACCCTCCCCTGGATTTGTCCTTAACCTCCTCCGTCACTTACCCGAATCCTTTACCCGCACCAAACACAGACTGTTACACACGAAAGGGGGCGGACAGGCGACCTGCAGGTCAGAAAGCCGGGAGAGTGAAGGCCATCACACAAGGATCTCTCAGTTAGATGATCTAACGTAGTTTCATTAGAATGTATATAACACTTAACATGTCCTTATAAGATATATACTTTTATCTGTGTCTTTAACTCATCTTATTTAAAATCGTACTCTTATATTAGATGTGCAAATGGCGCCCTCTAGTGGTGACTCGCTGAACTTTAGCTTACTTTACTTTGGACCAATCGGAGTTAAGCCCAAATTCTCCCTCTTTCTCCGGAGATAGTTTGACGTCCATAACTCTTCTGACGACGGTATCCTAGATATTAAATATTTAATGAAACTGTTGCTGTTCCAACTGACTTCCGCCTATCGCAGGTAATGCTTGTAATGCTAGCTCGCTAACCATTAGCTTCGGTGTATTTTAGCTAAGTTAGCTAACGTTAATGTAATGGAGCTTGCGGCTACATATTAGCAGCTAACGCAAACTGTTTGACCGTCACTGCTTTGTAAAACTTGCTTCGTATTTCCACTCTACGAAGTACAGACAAACGCCAAATTCTCGGTTAGCGCGTTAATTAACGTTTGCTAACGTTTCGTTAGCACCGTGCAGGTAAAGACTGGGCCAGTAGGGGGCAGTGTTGGACCACCAATGTATTTAAAGTGATTCCTATTATACCTGTTACTCCCTTAGAGGAGAGAAGTACTCAGCCTTATTGCTTCAGTAAATATAAGAAATACTACGGTCAACTATATTTCAGTGGTAACATTTTAACGGGTTTGAGATTAGATCTACTTTTTCTGCTGCAACATTAAAGCAAGATGCACATTGACACATCACTAATTCTAAATGGGAAATAGCCCATTATGCATCATTAGTAGTTGTATTATATTTTGATGTTAATACTTTTGTATTTGTAAGAGTTTTACTTCCAAATAGTTCACCCTGAAGTATTGCTACTTTTACTCAAATCTGATATCTGAATACTTGATCATCTGCGGTGGGTAGATCTTTAAAGTAATCCAGCATAGAAATGGCAGGAAAGTTACTTCTGCCTCACAGTGGAATCTGCCCTCTCTTTCTCAGTTCACGGTTCAGTGCAGTGTGTCATTTTAAATGCCAGACATAATAAAGTATGTGCAGTATATTATGCCCATTAAGAGCCTAGTGCTCTTCTCGTTGAAGAATATAATTGTAGTGGCTTGAGCAGTTCCCTGTAGATGTCTCCTTCAGGAGGGAAATGAAAATTATGCCCTTTCCAATAACAAGCTTTCTAGCTGACCTCCACAGACGAAACGGACTCGGACCCATTTGAATCTTTCATAACTACCCCAAATGATACGTCCGGCGGGTTCTGGAGTAATCCTCCCACCTGCAGGCAGCAATCGAGTGAAGATCGTTGTGTTCGCTCTACCTGGTGAGCACAGGTAGGTCCACCATCTGCCTCCTCGTCTCATCCTGTCACGTTCATAAGAACATGCAGCGGAGCTTTAAGGCTCATGTCACGACTTAAAAAAGTTATTACAAAGCCAAAAAATAAAAACAAGGCTCAGTGTTTAATTGATTCAACTATTAATCCATCCTGACGACTCTATTTTTCCTTAATGACTAAAATCCATAGATGTTTAAGTACTAACGACAAGCACTCGCTCACAACTGGCCTCCTCTACACATTTTTATGTCCTTGACCTCCAAGAGAAGCACCGCGGGGATGAAAGCAGCGTTTTCCGTCTTTGCCGGTGCCCTCCCAGCTTTATGGTGAAGAGGGTCCGGGGAGCGAGACGGAGCCCCAGAGGAGACGCGCGGGGTCGAGCTCCTGTCGAAGGCTAGTTTCCCCAAAAGTCCCACCAGGTAAAGCCTGCCCAAACATTTGAAATGTACCCCAAAGAAATATCACTTTGAGCACAGAATTTTGGAAAGTGAGCGTATGTGTGTGTGTCTGTGTGAGGGCCAGTGTGTAGGTGTGCGTGAGTGAGTGAACGCATCGAGGAGCTGATCCTATCAGACTCTTGTCGGGTCCTGTTGGGTTTTTCTGGATAAACCCGTGAGCAAGGAGACTTGTGCTGCAATTTTTAACCGCCTCCCTGCCCATGAGCAAGACACCTTCTTGCCCACACAAACACACACACGCACATTGTCGGTCTCTTCTGTTTTCCTCTGTCTTTCTACATTTCCCCCCTTTCCCACATCATTAGTCTCCCTGTGTCTTTTCTCGCTCCCCCCCTGGAGCTCAGGGAGGATTTAGGCCTCCTCTCCTCCTAGACTCACCTACATCCTTTCATCCCGCTCCCTCCTCTCATCCTCCTCACTCCCCTCTCCTTCCTTTCCTTCTCTTCTCCCCCCCTCCTTGCTTAACCTGCTTCCTGAGCCCAAAAAATAAACCCACACACACACACGCATCCCGAATCGAGCCCAAACCCATCCGCTGCCAGCGGCGCAACATCTAATCCTCATGCTTGAGGAGGAGGAGGACCTTGCAATCAATCCCAGCTCTCTTCCTGCCCCAACATCCATCTTCTTTTCTCTTCTTCAACCTTTTTCTCCGTCCTTTAATTGGGTGCCCAGAATCCCGCCCGGTAGGTATTGCTTTGGACGACACACTGGAGGGGCTTCCTCCCTTTTGTTGTCGTTCAGTCGGCTGTCAATCGCGTGCCACCGACGCGACGTTCCAACCACGAAAAAGCCAATTTCACTCCTCGGCACACCTTCCAATGAAAGAAAGTGGAATAAGCCGGTGAGGTGTTTGGTCGCAGTGAAAACCCCGAGACCCGTAAGCTGTGCGAGAGACACACACACACACACACACACGACGGAAAGCAGCTGGCGATGAAGCGATGCCGCCGCCCCGTGGTCGCTCGCCTGAACCGCGAAGCCCGCTTCTATTATGACCGTCTGATTTTGAGAGGGAGTTGCATCACGACCCTCCCCTCACACACACACACACACACACAAACATCATCACCACCACCACCTCTACCTCCCCTCTGCATCCACCCCCACCACCACCATCCCCTCCTCTCTGGGTTGGATAAATATTGCTGGAAGATATATAACGTGTTGCTATGGTGATCAGCTCGTGTTTCTTTTCTTTTTTTTATGGCATTTGTGGAAGACGGGGACATGCTGTTGCACAGGGAGCTCTGAAGATCTGCTGTGTGTGTGTGTGTGTGTGTGTGTGTGTGTGTGTGTGTGTGTGTGTGTGTGTGTGTTTGAGAGGAAGGAATGGAGGGATGATTTAGTTTTCAAGAGTAGGAACTTTCACAAAAAGCCCCAGAAAATCAGAGATCGCTCACCTACGTGCACAAAACCAAAACCCCCCGACTAGCAGCTGTCTGGGGAGCGTTTAACCTCTCTTCCTCCTCCTCCGCCTCCCCCCGTCCTCCCCCCCCGCCCGTCCCCTCCACCACCTCTCCATCTCCCATCACCACCCCTGCTCTCCGGCTGCTCCATCTCTGTGGGGACACATTCTCAGTCTGCCTGATTGGCTTCTGCTTACGTGCATGTGCTAATGTGCTCGTGCGTGTGTGCGCGTGTGTGAGCGTGCTGTCCTCCATCAATTAGCGCGAGCTGGTGCAGCAATTAACATTGTTCTTGAGCCGTGCGCGGCGCCGCACAATGCGCACGAGGGATAACTGGCGCATCATTGATCGCCAGCTGTCTGCCATTGAAAACTCCCTAATGGTCAAACGCACACAGACACACAATAACCATCACAGAACGGACGTTTGTGTGTGTGTGTGTGTGTGTGTGTGTTTGTTGTTCCGTAATGGTTCATAAGACACCACAAATTCTCTCGTTCAGACCAGCCGGCATCCTCGGAGACACCTACATGTGTGTGTGTGTTTGTGTGTATGAGCGCGCATGTGAGCTGATACCAGCGCAGCCCAGATGGCCATCTTCGAGGGGTTTTCTGGAACATTCAGACACTTGTTGCTTCTCGTCGTCTCTCTCTCTCTCTCTTGTACACACACACACACACACGTGCACACACGTGCACGGTGCTTCTTTTGAAGTGTGAAGCAGCTTGCGGTCAGCTCTGCTCCTCCTCCACGGTGGAATCCAATAGAAGCCATTAGAGCCTTCCGATACGCGAGGAAACAGAAACGCCCGTGCAGAGGAGAGACACAACGCGTATTCCCCCTGGATGTGTCAGAAAGGCCGTGCAGATGTTCGTCCTCCTCTGCAGTGGCGGACTAGAAGAATTTTGAGTTTGTCGACCCAGAGGGGCTGGAAGCTTTCCTCGTGAAAGTCAAGACATCAGGAAGTGTCACCTCCTGATGTCTTCTTTGGCTGTGAGAGATGATGTGTCTGTTTTGGCACTGTGCTCTAGCCAGATGTTATATCAGATGCCTGCCTTAAAACCCCTTTTTTAACCATTTTTTGGGGAAATGGATTAAAATAGGTTGATTGAAGGCAAAGGTCAGGAAAGAGGGAGGGAACAATGATATTTATTTTGGCTAAAGAGAGGTTATTGCAGCGTAGGACAGGGTTGCATTATTTATTTGCCCTCTGGATTTATGTTTTATTCCAATGTGCAGTCCACACTCAAATATCCAGACTCGTGTCCACTGGGGGCGTCTTTGGCGTAGTTTGCGTTCCATTACAACATTGAGGTTTAAAATGGAGTGTTCTTCATGCTTTGCCCTCTTTTAGCAAATACTGTTTAAACACATTGCAGATGGCCTAGTGGGGGCCAAAGGTGGATCCCGATTGGATGGAAGTTTGCTGCGTGTTCAAAAAGACTCACAATATCTGCGTGGGAGGAACTGTTGTGGTCCACTGGGACAGATACGCGTGGGAAAAGAGGAGTAGTGCTGTTATCTTACCGTTAGGATGCTTTTGCTTATCTCTGTTAAGTAAAATGTCCTCACCAGCAGACACACAAACGGGACCGAACGCACAACCTTCTCAGAAGACGTGGTACTGATTCTGGTTTCCAAGTCTGTCCTAATTCCTCATTATTTTGGTGTTAAGAGTCCAGAGCAAATAATTACTGTTTATTATCGAGGTAACTGTACACTAATGCTTCCAGTGACCCCACAGGACACCTGTGATTCTGTCATTTTAATAATTGTCATCATGGAGTTTGTGTTTAAGGAACCTGTATCTGGTGCACACTTCTCTTATTTATATTACTGCCTCCTAATTTGCCAGGAATTGTTTACGTTTTAGTGCACATCAGTTGTTCAGTATTTAAATACGCTCCTATTACGTGGCATGTTGACGTTTTACTCGACAGAGCGGCCTGTGTCGCCCCCTTGTGGTCACCTCGTTCCACTGCACAACAGCCTCAAAATGAGTTGGTTGACGACCTGCGATCTACAGTAACAAGCTGAGATAAACAGCCACCAGTTCTCCCTCCAGCAGATTATTCTGCTCTCTGACTGAACGACATGTATCAAGTTCTTTCAAGGACAGAAACAGACGATGAGATAAAAGAGTCGACACTTGTGAAACACAAAAGCAATGCAATAGATAGAATGTGCTTTCTTTTCTGACTGGGGCGTAGATATATCCCTTTTGATCCTGCAATGAATGACATTCTGCCAGTCAAATGAGTAAAAAACTACCAACACAACTGGTGGGAAACTCAAAGAAAACTTACACAAACTCTTGTCTTTTTTTAATGTCTGAATTGTTATTGTACATGGACATCCCAATGGATTTGCACTTCTTTTTACAATATGTACCACATATAACAGCACCTACATGTTATTTACACACATTACACCAGATTGTATCACAAAGCAGTTTGTGAAAAGAAGCCCAACAAGTGTCCAAAGCTTTGCTGAACCACCACAGCCAACTAGTTCACAGGCAAACAACCTCTTTAAATTACAAGGGTCAAAGTGTTGTTACTCCCTTAAATGGAAGGGACAAACGCTGACAACACACAAATCTTATCAAAGGGCCAAATGTAAACAAAGTAGGTAAAATACAAGCTTTGAACAACTTGTACTGTGAAATGAAAGAATGGGAAAACTGTATGTTTGGATTATTTGTAAAAGAAAAAAAGTGACATTACCAATGAGAAAAGGTGTGGAAAAAGAATGCAGGTTGTGGGTAATTCAGCAAAGCTTTGTTCAAAACACACCTTGCTTATCTCCTGTCCCTCACTACGGAAGGTGTTCGTAAACTGTGACTGCAAAGACGGTCACAGTTATGTGTGAATTGGGCTGACCTGCTTTGTGATGAAACCCTGGTTTAGGCTGCAAAGAGCAACAAAAGGAGGAGGGAAAAATATATAGTATTTAGGTTTAACAGGAAATAATTCGGCCAAGTGGTTTGCTGGATTTACCAGAACGGTGCATCCGCACGCGCACACACACACACACGTACACACTCACTGTTGCACAACAGAGACACTGTAGCAGCTTTCTCAAAGGCAAAGACAAGTACAACACACTAGGTGGCAGTTCTGCCGTCAGATACGCAAAACCACCGAGCAGCAGCAGAATGAGATACACACACACACACACTGAGAAGCAGTTTGAGTGGAGCTGCGCAGCGAGGAGGTGGTTCCGCCTGCAGAGGATCCCGGGTTTCAGTCCTTTCCGGCTCGGCCAGCAACCCACAGAGGAGACGGAGGAGGAAGTACGCTTGAGGGATGATGGGAGGAGAACTGCAAACAGCAGGAACCAGCCTGGTTCACGCTGGATGTGAAGAACAAAAAAAAGGAGCCCGGCCAAATAAACCACGTTCAAATGCAACATTCTTTGATTTAAGGATCAAGGACGTGACGTGTGCTCGCTTCTACATCGCTTCTATTGGGGGCAACCCAACGGGAAAGAATACCTTTCCAAAATAAAATAAAAACTTAACAATAGTATTGAGAGGATGTGAGAGACAACAGACGAGGTAAAGAAAGGAAAAGAAGGGGATAAATGTGTGGATTGATAAAAGTTATGTTTCTTTATTTGTAGCATTGCAACTAAAATAAAAAGGAGGGAGATTTCAAATGGTTGGCCAAGGCATCAGTCCTCATCAGCTGTCCAGTCGGCCACCAAGGAGAGGACAGAGGAGGGATTAGTGGTCTCGGAAGAGTTCAGAGCATCCTGTTACGTTTATGGGTAGGTGAGTCTGTGATGACATCACTACAGGGGGCGGGGCCTCGTTTACGATTGGCTGTGGAATCCAAATGCAGCGCCATCTCCTCGGCGATGAAGGTGTTGAGGTCCACGTCATGGAGACCATTCCTCCGACGGCTGAGGGGCTGGGCCGGGTGAGTCGGGGAACCGGGAGGACCAGAACGCACAGAAATGCTCGCCATGGCACCGCTAAGGCCTGGAGTAAATAAACAATCAATTATTATGAAACTGCATGGACTCTGGGGCTTCATTCTTACAATGCAAACACGACATTCTGACATACCATGTAGTGCTATAGCCTCTCTGAAGGGCTGCAGGTCTGTCTCCACAGAGCTGCCCGTCTCCGGCGGTGATGGTCGGCTCGCAGACACCATGGAAACTCTTGGCGGGGCGCGAGCTGTCCGTGGTGGTGGAACTTTGCCACACAGGAAGCTGATGAGGTCCTCGCGTCTGATTGTTCTCCTGCGTTTCTTAACCCATGCAATCACATCCTTATTCCTGCGCTGGTGGCCCAAGTGGATGCCCAGGTCATAGCTCCGCTGGCGGGCCTCCATACTCTCTGACCAAAACACAAGGACAAGTGTCTTTAGTACATTGCAAATTACACTTAAAACAGACAAGGAACCTCAAGGTGGGTAAGGGACTTGCCTTTGTAAAGGTTGGTGACAGCTGTGGCAGCATTCTGGAAGGGCACCCAGAGAGAGAGGCCCTGCTGCTGACATACTCTATCTGGAAATAAATTCAAAAAGTTAGGCACGTTGTCACAATGTTGGTGTAACACTGCTCCTAAGCCTCAAACTTATTTAGATAAATTCCAGTCACGGCGCTCAGAAATGCGGCAATGAAATACAACTGAGGAAAACGAACCAGGAATGGTGTATTTGGAGGAGAGCATTGGCAAACTTGGATTTAATCTGATCGCTGCCTGAAACAAATCCTAAATGATCCTTTCATGATTTAAACTTTCACTGCCAACCCGTTGTTCCTCGCTGTGGGAGCCGTCCATAAGGTTTCCTCTACAAGTGACTTGGCCGCATTACATTTGATTCAGATGAGCAAACATTGCTTTTGAAGCAGGACTTACAGACTAAGGGGGGGTTCAGGGACACACTCATCTGCACTTGACAGCCCCTCAAGAGCCCGATCAACAAAGCCATGCCGAGCATTCGTTCGGCTGTAACCATTCGTAATATGGAGGTTTCAAATGGAGGCTGGCGTGTATTTCCCGTTTCAGTGTGTGCCAATAGCAGAAGCTGAAAGGAACCCAAGTTATTTACAAGAATCAGTGTCAACACACAGCAAGGCAGAGTGGACTTAACAGAGACACGGTTTACTTTAATCATAACGCCATTTTGTTCTGGATATTAACAACGCAGTCGTCAGCAAAAGTACACAAGATTGTGTGTCGGGATGTAAAATGTCTCTGGGACGTTATGTGATTAAATCCACCACACCATTGCGACAATAAGCTATCTCTGCGACGGACCAACAACAAACGAGGGGTTTTCTGTGGGCCAACACCTCCCTGTTTTATCGCCATTTTGACGAGCTGGGTTAACTGTTAGCGGGTGGACAAAAACATTTTGATGTGAGCCGTTTGTGTCTCGACAGGACGAATCCATCCGATTATTATTATTTTTTTAAACATCGTGAAGCCACACTCCACTGAGCCACTCGGCTCTGGTGCTAATCGGCGTGTTTTGGCCCCGGAAGCCCTCTGACAGCTCGGGCCACCGCGAGTCAGATTGAGCCCCGGTGTCCCACACTGACACACAGTGACCGGCTGTTAGCGGCTGCTAGCTTGCGGGCTAACAGCTGCTGCCGCCGCGGGCAACGGAGCGGGGGGGCCGCGGAAACACACGTTTGAAAACTAAAATTCAAACGAATACACGTACGAGTGTCAACCAACACGCCACGGGAAGAGGAGCCGCTAGTTGTGCTGTGGAACGGCTGCAAACAGCTAACAGTTAGCCTCGCCAGTGCCCTTTGTGTCTCTCTCCGCTAGCAAGATTAGCCGTCATTAGCATTAGCTTTGCTCGAACTTCGGTGTATTTGGTACAGACCTTTGTAGAGCTGTGCGACCGCGGTGGCCGAATTCTGAAAGAGGTGCCACAATTTCTGCTGGCTTTGTTCCGTCTCCTCTTCGTTTGGATCCGTCCGTTCGGCCTCTGCCAAACACTGCCTTTCCCATTTGGAGAACCAGTGTTCGGGGCCGTGCTCTTGGATCTCCGCTTCTCCCTCCTCCTTCTTCTCCTCCATAGCTAACGGTAGGTGTTAGCTTGTAGCTTCTAAACTAGCCTCCGTGTACAATATAGGGTTGTTTGGTTTCTGGAAATAGTTAACTCTCTCTCTTCTCTATTCTACTGGAGAAATTCGTCACAAGACCCTAACAATATATAGAAAATAAAAAGAATTGCTGTTAAGGTCGCATTGTGAACGTCTTAAATTCCGGCCGCACGCCCAGTGTAACGCACACCAAACTAAGAAACACGATGACAACACCTAAGAATCTCCGGTTCTAGCCACGCCCAGTTTCTCGCTGTACTGAAAAGCGATTGGTTGTAGAGGTTTATGTGGGCGGCTCTTAATGCTGAACACGAAGCCTGATTTGACAACGTTGAAAAAGAGAAAAGGTCAGAGAAAAACAAAGTTGATCCCACCCGAGGATATTTTTTCTAGACCGCCATACACCATTCTGTACAGCAGGGGGCAGCCTGGCCGTGGTAATATGCGCCATAGCAACATGTGATCAAAAGTATGACATCCCCGTTGAAAGAAACACACATTATATTCCCTCCAGTGCCAGGAGACAATTCATAATGCTAAATGCCCACTGTAGTCCCAGAAATCAGAAATATTTGAAACGGTTTTATCGCCAGGTCAGTTTGCACATACAAGGATTTTGCGTTGGTATTTTGTTGCATAAGGATGAATACAGTTGTCAAGTCAAAAGACATAATGTACAATGTTTTAAAATCGAATTACTCTATTGTACAACACTCTTACACACTATGAGATCTGTTGATGAAGAGTGCGTTATGAATAAAATGTATTATTATTACAGTCTCTCAAGTGGTGAAGTTAGAGAGTCAGAGGTAAATTGAGCTAAGAGTCCAAGTTTTCAGTTATACGATTGATATAAACCACGTTTTGTTTCTTTCTATAAAAGTTTAGGTATTGCTTTAAGACACTTTTATGATCAACAGCATGTGCTTTCAACAGTTAAGTGACAGCGCTTTCCTTTTTCAACAGGATAAAACCAGGCCCATAGATACAACATTTTTCCCAGCTTGGTGTGAAAAAGCCTTGAACTCAACCCCTTTGGAATGTTACGGTATCTGAGCCAGGACTCATCCAGCACTCTAAATACAGATAGACTATTCTGCCGATGGATGGATGGATCACAAATGTACTGCAGCACTATTTACGTGTAAATGTTGTCTCCTAAATCATTATAAACTATTATCATGCAACTAGTGGTGCTTCTTGGATCCAGTGTTGGCTGCATTGTGATTTTGTGTTGAAAATTCAATGTTCACGCTGTCTTTTTGAAAGTCGCCACAGGTCTGTGGAACAGGGATTGAAGGAGTCCAAAGATCAAATGTTTATAACAGGAACCTACTTGTTACGTGTTCTCTCACCTTGATCTCTGTCTCTTCCTCAGTCCGACTGCACAGGGCTGTGTGTCAGACTGTACCTGTCTCTCTCTCTCTCTCTCTCTCTCTCTCTCTCTCTCTCTCTCTCTCTCATCAAATCCAAGTTTCTGACCCCCTTTCCTCCTCCGCTGGCAGCACCGGTATCTTGGAAGATGTCGAAGGAGCAGACTGTTTGCGTTGGCGACGAGTATTTCCCGGAACGAGGACCAACTCTCACATTTAGCGACTTGCACTACTGTGTTCGTGAGGCGAGGGTTTGCCGCGGGGGAGGCCCTGAAAAACACATCCTCAACAATGTAAGGTACGAGAACTGACTGCCTTATCAGCGAGTGCATGTTAGCATCTCCCGGCTACCTGTGTGACGTAACACTCCAGGTGTTGATTCACAGCTGCCTTTTCCTGTTTTATACAAAGGCCCTCGGCGCTATGGTTGCTGTACATCGGACAGTGAGTTATGAGATGTAGTGCTGCTCTGTTTGTGGCTCATTTCATCGAACCTGTGTATCAGTGTGAATATTTATAGGGAACTTCCTTTATTTATTTGTATTTTCAAGTAGACCCCAAAATCAGCCAAAACCTATGCAAATCAGTTCTTTCAGTGTAACAATATCGGTCTGTGCTATTTCATGTTTCTGTACATTTAATATTTTATTTGTTGCAGTGGCATCATGAGGCCCGGGATGAACGCCATCATGGGCGCCACCGGGAGTGGTAAAACATCGTAAGAAAACCTGTTCTTGAACATGCAAACAAAGAGGCCCTGTGTCACACACGTCTACAACCCCGAACCAAATTAATGTCAGTTTCTTTCTCTTTTTTCTCAGACTACTGGATGTAATTGCAGGGAGAAAGGACCCGGTTGGACTGAAGCACGGAAAAGTCATGGTGGATGGGAAAGCCGTCTCAGCGGACCTCAGACTCAGCTCTGCGTATGTCGTCCAGGTACACAAACACACGCGCACACACACACGTCCTTTGACGCTGTTACATTTCTGATTCCTCCGAGTGCTTTGTGCCTTCATCATCCGTGTGCTCCCAGGACGATATCCTGATGGGCACTCTGTCTGTGAGAGAGAACCTTCTGTTCAGTGCCAATCTGCGCCTCGACCGTCGGCAACACTCCTCCGCAGATAAGAACAACAGGGTGGACGCCATCATCAGAGACCTGGGCCTGACGGACTGTGCCGACACCAAGGTACAGCGCTGCACACAGCTGAGGAACGTCGCTGGCTCTACAGCAGTGGTGGACTGTCAGTTTACATGATAGCTTCCTCCGGAAAGAGCAGAAGCATTCACTGAAATATTGTTCGCCAACCGTACCCAAATGAGAGCATGGTGTTCTAACAATAACGTTCACAAATGGAGGGAGAAAATACGTCTTTGGCTGTCCAATGTCCCAAATGTATGGGTGACATTTATAGGCTCACTTTGATAATGTAATATATTTAACCTGGAGCAAAGTCTAAATCACTTACATAAAGATAGTTATGTTTAGTGCCCAACCTGACACTGAAATGGGTTTATGGTGTCACAACACAGAGTTTAATGCTAAGTCATTGTGCTGCCCACTGTTTGTCTGTGTGTGTGTGTGTGTGTGTGTGTGTGTGTGTGCAGATAGGGACAGAGTTTCTGCGCGGCGTATCCGGGGGCGAGAGGAAGCGGTGCAGCATCGGGATGGAGCTCATCACTTCTCCCTCGCTGCTGTTTCTGGACGAGCCGACTACCGGACTGGATTCTAACACTGCCAACTCCATCATCAATCTACTAAACAAGTACAGCACAATGACTCGTTACTCCCACAGTAGAAAACACTGACTGCATGAACACAGCGGAGGATGAACTCTGGGACACGTTCTGTCGGCTGTATCAGTGATGCCCAGTGAATCAGCGGCACCTTCGCCATCTGCTGCTGTCTTTGTGTTCTCTGTCTCAATACGAATGCAATCAAAGTCCTCATGTGTGTCCAGGCTGTCCAGAAGAGGGAAGACTGTGATCTTCTCCATCCACCAGCCACGCTACTCCATCTTCAAGCAGTTTGACCACCTGACCTTGTTGCATAAAGGGGAGGTGGTGTACGCGGGCGCTGCAGCCCAGGCACTGGAATACTTCACCAACCTCGGTACGCGTGTTTGTCTATCTTTAATCCTGCCATCAAAAATAGACACCGTATTGTAATGTGAAGTCTTGCGTGCTTCTTCCCTTGAAATGAAAAACAAGCTCTCCAGTTTTACTTTAGTTTTCCTCCTTGTTCCTGTTTCTTGTTTTGTGTATTTGACGTATTTTGACGTGTTTCTGTGTGTTTTCGTCCAGGCTACCAAATTGAGGCCTTCAATAACCCAGCTGATTTCTTCATGGACATCACAAATGGAGAGATCAAATCAACATTGGTGTCACTTACCGCAGGTACACATAAAGTGTATCGTATGGATGGTCTGAGGAGACCCAAAGACTGTTAAACAGGGATAAACGTTTATTCTACTGTCCTTATCTACATCGTGGCCTCTGCATCTTTCCACAGAACAGGATAAAAACCCGTTGGCAAACGTGTACCGCCAGTCCCAACTGGGCCGCAATGTGCTGGAGGAGCTGGACCACGTGAACCAGAGCATCAGCGACGGGGCCAGCGGTCCAGACGAGGCGGCTGACTACGCTACCTCTTTCCTCTACCAGGCGAGCCAACTCTGCTTCTCAGAAACGCATTCTCACGTTGGAAAACACACTCCTAAAAATAAAACTATACCAAATAAATATCTGAGGGATTTAAAATCTCAGTTGTATTTTGTTGTTGTGATGAACCTGACACTGAATACGAGGTTACGTTACAGAGTTTGATGACTGCGCCACTTAAGTCATTGTGTCTGGCTGCCCGCGGAATGAACCCTTTTTACAACATGTCCATAAACAAACCCATGTATGTTTCTGTGTGTGTGTGTGTGTGTGTGTGTGCGGGACAGTTGCGCGTGGTGTGTGGGAGGACGGTTAGGAACTCTCTGAGGAACCCTCAGACCTCTTACGCCCAGTTGGCTCTCAACGTCTTCTTTGCTATTCTGGTGGGACTCATTTATTACCAAATGCCACTGACGCTGCCCGAGGCGTTACAGAACAGGTACGGTGCCGCAACCTGCAGCACGACAGCGATGCTGCTTTAAATCAGTGTGTGTGCTTACGTCTAAAAACTCATCTAAATGTGTAAAGGTTTTTTCTTTATTGAAGGTTTTCCCTGTAGATTATTACATGTCGAAGGCAGTAAAATGACACAGCAAATTTTAATATGTATAAAGAACAAATATTTACTTTTCAAAAGGCTTGATGGCTGATTTTAATTTGGAATAAAGTATATGAGTGAGATCGGTCAACATAACAGACTTATGATGCTGTTCCAGGGCGTCATAAATGTAAGGGGATGTAAATGTAAGATAACTCTCTATCTCTCTTCCTGGCGACAGGAGCGGAGCCTTCTTCTTCCTTATCATCAACATGGTCTTTGGGAACCTCTCCGCTGTGGAGCTCTTTATCAACGAAAGGGCCATATTCATGTGAGTTAAAGATAAAAGCTGTGTTTCAGTGCGACTTATGCAGAAGGTGAATGACTACGAAGATGTTCAAGGTCCAGTTAGATCTTCTTTTCAATGCTGTCTAAAGGATACGTTTGTTTAAAAAAGGGAAAAAGTGACACTCTGCCTCAAGTTCATTCATTTAGACAGATATACGTCTTCAGCAGGCCTTTTGTTTTTGTTTTTAAGTAAATATTAAATTTGTTGTGGACTATTTTCCGTTGCATATTAATATATTTGCGATGCTATAGTGACAAAATTGATTCCTTTACAATCACATCATTTTCAACTGGGCCACAATGGGGTTTTTTTTGTGTGTGTCAATGTGCTTCTACAGAGTCTTTGTTCATATTTTTTGCAGTCACGAGAACTCCAGTGGCTATTACCGCACGTCCGTCTACTTCCTGTCCAAGATCTTTGCTGATCTCATCCCCAACCGCATAATCCCCATCTTTGTGTTTTCGGCCATCGCCTACTATATGATGGGTATTTCTCGCACATACCGCATACACAGAGAATATACAACATATTATATTGCTCGCTCAAATGCTCCTGAACTTTAGGACTGTGCGAGTTTGTCATTTTCCCCACTTGACTTAATAAGAAGACCATATTTATCTCTGCACAGGCTGTAAAGAGGTTAAAGTTTAAAGAAACAAAATCCAGACGATGTTCTTGTATTGCACGCCTTCCTAATTCGTGCTCCTGCTGCAGATCTCTTTATATCTAGAACCTTTCATTTGACCTTTCAGCTACACGTCTAATGACCCACAGCGTGGCAACCCGCTAATAACAATACTAAAAATACTAATACCTCCGTTCTGTCTTCCTGTTGGTCCACCACTCTTTCAGGATTGAAGCCTGCCTTTGAGGCCTTCCTGTGCTTCGCCCTGACCATGTCTCTGGTCAGTCTGGCAGGAGTCAGCCTGGCCTTTCTCGTCTCAGCCAGTGTATCTTCATTTGCCATGGCCAACATCCTCATTGCTCTGCCCTTTGTCTTCATGATGGTGAGATGATGAGGATCACTCACAGACACACACACACACAATACACATGGCTGGCATCATAATGTGGACTATTGAAGATGTGTACGTGTATAATTCTCTCTTTTCCTTCTTGGTTGACCTATTTTTAGGTCTTCGGTGGTTTTCTCGTCAACCTCAATGCCATGCTGAGCTGGCTCTCCTGGCTGCAATGGATCAGTGTCTTCAGATACGGACTGAATGTAAGCGATAGAAAAATAGGCCCCTGCAGAGCGGGAGGGCGTGGCTGTGAGAACGGGGTTGAATGTGATCTGGTCTTCTGTCTCTGCTAGGCTGCGTTCATCAACGAGATGTCGGGGCAGCTGTTCTACAGCAACAACACCAGGTGAGCGCGGCGTGATTACAGAGCCGCTGCTTAAACCGCGATGACACGCGCGGACGCACGCCCAGCCTCTCTCTCTCGTCTCTCGCTGCAGTGTCCCCGGGGAGGCGTTTCTGAAGAGTCAGGACATCGACTACTCCGTGTGGGGCTTCTGGCAGAACCAGGTGGCTCTGCTGGGAATCACGTTGACCTGCATGTTCCTGGCCTACGTACAGCTGCGCCGAATCAACCGCTGGAAATGATTAACATCTGTATATGCATCCATCAACCTTGTGCTCTCTCTATTTATTTAACCCGCCTCAAATGACTCAAACACTGCACTTTGGAGGGGGAGAAGTTATTTTATAGGTTATGAAATGAGCTTTCATTAAATGTCCCTTAAAATCACTATCTCTCCCGCTCACAGATAAACACACGTGTTGGATAAGCCGCTGCTCGGCGCACTCGATCCGTGCACGAGAGATTGTACATGCAAAGCCAAGCCAACATCTAAGTCCTTACAAAGCTACTTACAAGCAGAGAGACAACGTGAGCTACACTTGAGAAAGTAAGCGAAGGTCTCAGATTTAACAAGGGACCTTTGCGGTTTTTTTTAAATAATCACATTTCTCAGTTCTCCAGGTTGAGAATCAATGCATGAAGTTCTCCTGTCTTTTTATTATGTTGCTTACAGAAGCAGTGAGGGAATTGTAATTTCACTTTTACTCGGTTTTCTCGGTTCCTGTTGCTTTATGCAAGTTTTCCAAAAGATATTCTGATAATTAAAACAGACCACAAGGCTTAGAAAAAGATTCACATAGAACAGAGAAGCTTTCAGAAACCAACTCAAATACATTGTTCCACTCTTTATGAGGCTCTGACACAAACCTTCTGTACCAACTATGTTTTGAAGCTATATTATATATTATAAGTTTACACTGAGAAGACCTTTCAAACCAAAAACTCCATGATTTGTTTGGCTTTTGCAATAAACAGAAATATGTAGCGTATCGTTTTACTCCTCCTTCTCTCCAGCACAGCAACGAAACGCCTTCAAAAAGCCTCTCGCCGACACCGAATCGTCTATTCATCCTCAGGTTCGAGGACGACGCCTCCGATGGGCAACACTTCCTCGTGGTCACGTTCAGAAACGCTCCCCTCCGCTCGCGCTCTTCCTCAGGCCGCGCCCCACTTTCACCGGCGTGCTCTCCAACCCGCGCAGCCACTCGGTGCACTTCATCAGCACGCGCTCGTCCACGCCGCGGTCCTCCTCCTCCTCCTCGTACTCCACATCGTCGTACTTATGTCGCTCGTTCAGAAGGGAGATTTTCACGATTGAACTTATGTCTCCCGGTTCAGCGTCAGCGTTGTTTCTGCCGCTTGTTGCGAGTCTCTGGGTCACCGGTTGAAGATTCTTAGAGACGTTTTCCCGCCTGCGTCTGGGGTCCAATGCGCTCCCACAAACGCCCCCTGCTCCGTTTTTGGGCGCCGAAAGTTGCCGCCTCTCGCTGTTCCTCCGCCGCAGCAGCAGAACGGCCTCGGGCGCGAGAGTCAGCGTGAAGCGGACCTCCTCCTGGCGCCCGGCCTGGGCCTTCGCCCCGGGCTCGCTCTCCGCGAAGCCCTGGCTCACGTGTTTGTGGTGCTGCGTCTTAGACGGCGACCCCACCGACCTGGAGGCCAGGAAGCCGTCCGTTTGCGAGGAGGGCAGCGGTCCCCCCCTTCTCTTTGCGTGCAGCTCGGACCCCGACGCCGCTTTGGCAGTTGGCAGAAAACTCCTGGGTTGGCTCTTCTTACCCAACTGCTTGAGGTTTGAAGCGAGTTGCTCCTTCACGCTCCCGCCTTTGTCCCCCCTTTGGCCCGTGGGGAAGGTAGCGGCAGGTGAAGTGTTTCCGACGGGTCTCTCCTTCGCGGGGCGTCCCGGCGCGGAGCGCGCAATCGACACGGGCGGGATGAACGGCATTTTGGCGACGCACAGGATCAAATAGGAGAGGAGCTCTGCTTTGCGGTTGAAGGGCCAGGAGAAAGGAGACGAGGCCACTAAGGTGGAAAGCGTTTGACCGAGAGAGGGGAGATACTCTGATGCATCCTCTGCCATGCAGGGGTCAGCAGCTAGTGGTACGCCAGTGAGATCCCCCAGTGCTCGCCTGCCCTGGGACAGCTGACATGCTGACGGCGTCTTATACCTGAGCTGCAGGAGGGCGTGGCGTGGCGAGCCGCAAAGGTCGCGGATGTGACCTCATACCAAGGGGGGAATCAAGGGTTTTGGCAGGCATCTTAAATGCTCATTACTCCGAGGCTCAATGATCTAAAATAAACCCACGCTTCTAATCCTCTAGTGTCATGTCAGTGAGCACACATTTACTACACACAGCGCAGCGCGAGTGCACCTGCAGGCTTAATCCACACAGGGTGCAATGACAATTTAATTGAAAGTGAGTTGGGGCTCTGCACTGAGCAGCATGGCGGCAAATCCATAGAAACTCCGACTTCATTTATTTAAAAAAAAAAGATTGTGCTTGGCAAATGCAAAAAAAAAATAACTCAGGGTCCACAAGCTTTTTTCCAGAACTGAACTGCATCTTCAAAATCTTCGGCCAAAATCTATCGGCCGACGGAAAAAGCTACTATGGGATTCTTCCAATTCTTTGTTAAATGTATTTTTCCGCCATTATACACACCATCTTCTTGTGTCCAAGCTAAGCATTGTTTTCTGTTTTGTGCTCCTCCTTTATTGGAAAATGTGAGCAAATATTGCTACAGAAAACTGACTTAATGTGCATGTATCTACATACACATTAACTAGTTGTCATCTTGTGTGTTTTTAAAATAACTATCTTCCTACGTACATGGGGGACGCTTTGGCAGCGAGAACAAGAGGGATAGACGTCCTTTAAATATTAACAAAACATGGAACCAGGCAGCATCCAAGCGCCGACCTGTAAGACATAAATTATACATCAGTTTGGTTAAATAAGAGCTGGACAAGATACAACAATCTCCTCTCAACTCAACTTTTAGGCACACTACGCGTCCTTAACATTATCTTATCCCAACATTATCTGACCAGTGCCTTTTGAGAGCTGTGCTTTGAAAAGTACCAGTGGAATTAAATCAGTATGTTGGTCCCTTCACACATGAAAAATACGAGACATAACTGAGTCCCACGGGAAGAACAACAAAGAGAAAATGACCTTCAGGCCGGCTCTGCATATTCACAATGGGAGCAGATGAGAAGTGTGCATGTACCTGGTGGAGGTGTGTGTGTGTTTCGGTGGTGCAGACCAGCTCCAGGAGTGAAAGCGAGTGAATATGGTGTTGCCAAAATGATGCAGGGATCATACTCTCATTTGCAAGAAAGACACGACTGCACAACCCTACACTGCTTGTGTATTTTAAATTATGCTGTGAAGTGAGCTGGCACCCGCACAGAATGATGAGGTTCAGAACATATCCACGTTTAACCATATTTAACACCTGTTACTCCCACAAATTGTACAGTACAGTGTTTACACCGTTGAACCACACTATCAGAATCACCTTAAAAAATTGATTTTCACAATAAGACTCTGCTCATTCTGGACCCCCTCCCTGGTTAATCACATGCAGTATTTGTGCACAGGATGCACCGACATCCAAACCGTGTTTTTTTAACAGGTTTATTTGAGCCACCAGAGGAGCCCTTTCGCACTGGTCGTGGTTTCGGTTGTGAGACGTCGGTGTGAACGAGGGGGTTTTCAGTTGGACGTAACAGCTAGCGTGATGAGGCTAAGGTAGCACTAGCAACCAGCCAAGCATCCACGGGTTTCGCTGCAGAGTTTAGCTGCCGGATGCTCCCGGTCGTAGCCTACTGGCCGTCTTGACATTTCCTCACCATTCCCGGACGAATTCGTGTCGACTGACCAGAGTCCGCGAATTCAGGTCCATTCCTTAGCTTTACCCCCCCCCCCCCCAACGCTAACGTAACTTAGCTTGCCGGCTAACGAGAGTGCACGCACGGAGAACCGGACCGACGAGGTAAGTTAGCATGCGGGCTAGCGGAATGTGCGGCTAGCCGGCGAGGCTGTCATCGCGAGTAAAGGCATCTCCTCCCAGGAAAACCCGAAGTCTGACATAGGAAAGAGAGGCCGACTGGTTGGCTAGCGGCTCGTCGATCTATTTGTTAGAAATTAACGTCAACCAACCTGCCTGCTAGGCCCATTTTACACCGGCGAGCGGTAAGCTAGCAATTTAAATAACTTGCTCGTGATGTTTGCTGTAAACAATTTAGCGAGCGAGTCACCGATATGATGGTGACGTTAGCTAGCAAAGCCAGTTTACTTCAGTTGGTTTAACGTCAAGTGTTCAACCTGGCATGCTTTGGTGATAAAACAGACTACTGGAGAAACCACCTGGCTCTCGTTAGCTTTGCCATGTTTTTAAAGCTAACGTTATCGTTGGCTAATTTTAGTCGAACGATCTTTTCGTGTGTTGATTTGGGTTTGGCTAACTTGTGATTCGAGTAACGCTGCAGTGAAGTTAATGTAAAGTAATGTAAGTGATCACATATAGTTGTATTCATGCTGTCATCCGTCGGGCAGCGGGAAGGTTCCGCTCAGCTGCCCGCTCGGGTTCATGTGTCGCTTGTTGCCGAACCGAAGTTTCGCTCTGTGACCTCGCAGAGTTCCACTTGAGGACCACACCCAGTCAAGATGTCCCTTCATCAGTTTCTGTTGGAACCCATCACCTGCCACGCGTGGAACCACGACAGGACACGTAAGGCTCAATATGTCAATTCAAGAATACCACCGCCTGCGACCAGTTAGTTAAGTCACAGGTTATGCATCATGAAAACAATCTGTGTGTTGTCAGTATTTGCAGAAACCGGTTTAGCATGTTTTCTTATGTCAGTTATCTGTTAACCTGCTGTTTTTGTTGTTATTGTTTTTTCTGCAGAGATTGCCATCAGTCCAAACAACCATGAAGTTCACATCTACAAAAAGAGTGGCAACCAGTGGGTTAAGACTCATGAATTGAAGGAGCACAATGGACACATAACAGGTATTTCCATGAGTAACCCAAAAGCAATTGAACAGATCTGCCATCGGCTCACATTCTCACTCTGAATGGAGCGTTTGGAGTAAAAGCTTATTCAGCTCCGGGATGTTCCTTTCACTTCAGGACAACAGTCGGTCAGTCTAAGCATCTCTCTCCGTTGTGTGTTGTCCTGTAGGAATTGACTGGGCTCCCAAGAGTGACCGTATCGTGACGTGTGGAGCGGACCGCAACGCCTATGTGTGGTCCCAGAAGGAAGGAGTATGGAAGCCCACACTGGTCATCCTCAGGATCAACCGAGCTGCCACCTTCGTCAAGTGGTCCCCACTGGAGAACAAGTTTGCCGTTGGGAGCGGCGCTCGACTCATCTCAGTCTGCTACTTTGAGTCTGAGAACGACTGGTGAGACTATTTGTACAACCAGTACATTTTTTCTCCAGTGTCACTGGAGCACTATCCACATTGAAATGATCATTGGATTTATACATGGCTATTCGATGGAAATATAGAAGAGCTGTTTTTTAAACTGTTATTTAAGATGCCTGTGCTTTTTCAAATGCTCCAGGTGGGTGAGTAAGCATATCAAGAAGCCAGTACGCTCCACCATCCTCAGTCTGGACTGGCATCCCAACAACATCCTGCTGGCCGCGGGATCCTGTGACTTCAAATGCAGGTGAATGTCGTTAACAGTGAAAAGCCTTCAAAAGATAAAGAGCGAATGATTTAAAAATATGCCAACGTCCTCTCCCTCAATTGCTTCCTGTTCTTTTTCTCTGTTTTTTTGTCTGCACTGCTCCCTCCCCTCCCTCTCTGGCCTCCAGGGTGTTCTCAGCCTACATTAAGGAGGTGGAAGAGAAACCCGGCCCCACACCCTGGGGCAGCAAAATGCCATTTGGCGCTGTGCTCGCAGAATTTGGAGGAGCGGGTCTGTATCTGTCTCTTTTTTTTATTTTTTTTTATGTGATGATAAAAAAAAAAAAACTTCATATGACTCCAAGCGCCCCATTAAACTAACCACAGTCTGCCCTTTTGTATCCACTGTGTGTCTGTTAGGTGGGGGGGGCTGGGTCCACTCTGTCGCTTTCTCAGCCTCTGGTAACCGGCTGGCCTGGGTCAGCCATGACAGCACTGTCACCGTGGTGGACAGCTCGAAGACGGCCAGGTATATTCATTTATACCCATTGATTGTGGTGGCGACGAGAGGTCTTTGCTAAACACCTCGTGGGGAGTTTTCTAATGAGCAAACAAACATGTTGATCGGTGTTACATATTTGTGTTATGTCAGTGTTGCACACCAAAGTGTCTAACACCGAAGGCTTTATGCTTGTTGGTTGCATGTCCTGACTCATGCTGTTTTAAAGTATTTTAAATCCTGCACAATAGTAAAACCTCCTCCTGATGGTGCGTGCTGCATTTTTCTTTGGTACGTACTTGATCGGTGCAATATGGACCATTGATAGGACTGAGATCAACAAAACCTTGAATTAACAAATTACATATCAAATATAATTGATTAATTAGGTCAAATAAAATAGAAAGAGTATTAATATATATATACATACGCATTATATGTATAATCGTTACTATACCACAAATTAAGAAGCATTTGGCATGATTTCTTATCTGATCTGCTACTCGCAGTGCCAAACGCTGATGAACGTAAACCACCACCAACATAATCACATGCTGGTGTCAACAAATGAAATGGAAGGAAAGGGAGAGGAAGGAATCTGTGGCAGATAATAATTTAACATGTTCTCCTTGAAAACCTGCTCCCACTGCAGCGTACACAACCCAGTCATTTATCCGACAACACACCAACTGTGAAATTGTTTGTGGAAAGCTGCCTGTATTTTATTTTATTTGTTTTTTTAAGTACAGCAAAATATTTGGTTCTGAAGACGCTAATTTGTTTGTGACCGTTCAGTCCTTCGCAGTTGAAGACGGACTTCCTGCCTCTCCTCAGCGTCATCTTTGTTTCCGAGAACAGTCTAGTAGCTGCGGTAAGAATAACGCTTACCAACGTGTCTCCACGTGGTGAAATGAATGCCGTTGTAACTCTGCTCCCCGTCTTCAGGGCCACGACTGTTGCCCCATGCTGTTCCGCTGCGACGACGGTGGAACGCTGACGTTTGTGTCGAAGCTCGACCTCCCCAAGCAGAGCATCCAGAGGAACATCTCCGCCATGGAGCGCTTCAGGAACATGGACAAGAGAGCCACCACGGAGGACCGCAACACTGCACTGGACACACTGCACCAGAACAGCATCACGTAAGTCCCACTGACAGGGTTCAAACGGGGGCCGACGAGGAATTCATCTCGCCTTGTCCTACCCCTGGTTTGGGTGAGAAGCTCATTTCCCTTTGGTATCTGCATGCTGGAGGTGCTTTGAACAAAGTCTGTAAACAAGGGGTATAAATCCATTCTGCTTAAAGCTAATAAAAACCACATACCAGCACAACTCAGGTACTGATTAACACACTCTTGTGTCAATCTGTAAAGTGAACTTTCCTGATTTTCAACTGGCTTTGTATCATCACAATGCTGTGTGTGTGTACTCCTTCAGACTCCTCTGTTCCCCAGTCGTGATAGTCTACGACTCCTTTTAAAACTCTCTCCGTGTCTCTCCCTCAGCCAAGTGTCTATCTATGAAGGAGACAAAAGGGATTGTCGCAAGTTCTGCACCACAGGCATCGATGGTGCGATGACCATTTGGGACTTCAAGGTACAAACACGCGTAAATCAGCGATCCTCTTTCCCAGATTATCCCACATCTCTCAGCGCTAACTCTCTGGTGTGTCTCTGTGTCCGCCTCCTCAGAGTCTAGAAGCTTCTATCCAGGGCCTCCGCATCATGTGAAGATATCTTGTAGATGAATGAAGAAACGCAGCAGGCCTCACTTCTCCCTCCCTCCCCCCCCCCGCCCTTCCTCTCCTCCTCACCCCCTCTGCTCCTGCGACGCAGCCAGTAACGCACACAACCGACCACCTAATGAGTGTCTGCAGAAGCACTGATCAGACCATGACGCACTCGTATGGGTGTGTGCAAACACTCACTCACTCACGCACACACTACACAAACACGCATACGCTACACACACACACACACACACACAGACTGAGCTAACGTGTGACATCACTGTTAATTTCTTTTCTTTTTTTTTTAATGAAGGTTAACCAGGTGTCGGAGTGGAAAAGGTCCCCTGACACGTATTAAAACGTGACGTGAAATGTGTGTGTTTTTTTATGTTCTTTAACCTCCTGTACCAAAAGTTGAACACTAAACGGTGCGTTTTATCCAAAAGTCGGGACTGTATTTCTCCTTTGGATCGACCTCAACATGATCTCTGAATATCAATGTTTAGTAGAAAGCAGGACGTGACGCTTCTCTTGCTGGCGCGCGGTAGATCTTCCTCAGCAGGGGAAGGCATCGTTTGGGATTTGAGGCTCGGCGTTATTGATATCCGGAGGTCATGTTGCTGCAGAGAGCTGTACAGGGTCTGATGGTGGAGAGAGAAAGCAGCAGTGCGGAGTCACGGCCGGCCAGCGCTCGGCTCTCTAGCTGCTTCACTAAAACCACAAAAGATGGAGGATTTCTATGTAACCGATCATGAGGTAGACATAAAATAAAGATGAAGTACATTTAAAGTACACAACTCACTCGACTGTTCTCTTTTGTATTTGCCCATCTAAATGCATTTACTGGATTTGCACTAGTAGCATGTTTCTTTGTGTGCTTTCCCTTTTTGTTCACTGCTTTTATTTCAGAAATGCTCAATTGACTCGAGGATGTAGCGTGTGAGGAAACCCTTGAAACTGCAGGTTCATTCCATTACTACACAAGGCAGCTATTGGTTTCTTTTGTTAGTGTATTAATGCATGTTGAACGGGTCTAGGTGTTTACAGCCATTCTGGTGACTGAGGCTGTGCATCTGTCCTCTGAATGCTAACATGCTCACTAAATTACCAGTGCGTCCCACTGCACCCAGTTGCAAACATCTGCTAACTAGTTCAACTCAGGATGGGATGTAATAAGCGCTGTATGGGCTTCTTAAAAGCAAAAACAATGTCACTAGTACAACAGTTAATATTTACAGTAATGCGGCTGCATTTCATTGCTCTCTTCTCAGAAGTGCTAACTCCTATTCATGTCGTCCTCTAGGCTTCTGCCTCCTTATGCAATCAAAACGTTGGTGTTTTTTCTCCTCAGACCTACATATAAAGTGCCAGGGTCACATTCCGCGAATGCTGAGGAGAAAAAGTCAGTGAAATAAATAATGAAATTTGTTATTTAAGGCCTCTGCAGTCCATTTTAGGTCTGCACAGTGAGAGCGAATGAGCCCTGCAGGAACACCGGCCCGCCACATGTTGATTCTGATAGTTGAGCTTTGTGGGAGGAGACTTCAGAGTAAACTTCTCTAAGACCACATTCATGTCGGATTGTGAGTAAACCGAGAAAACTCTGCGTCAGAATCAAAATAAAACTCTGAATAGATGGAAAAACATGAACAAATATATTCTTTAGTGAACGTTCCTCCCCCCTCCTGCAGTTTGCTTCCCCCCCCATGCCTTGTTCCTCTTCCTTTATGCAGAAGTGACCATACGGCCCTCCCCCTTCTTTTCCTCGTCTTTTATGCTTGTTTTCGCTTCCCCCCCCCCGTCAGCTTCTGCTTCCTCCTTTTTGTAGTTAGAACCTCTTATTGTGTCCACGCCCCTCCCTCTATTCTCCCCCTCCTCCCTTTTGAAAACCAGAAGTTTGCTGCGGTGCTCTCACCCATTTTCCGGCTCCTGCGTGGGCCTGCGTAAACTTCCTGTGTGCCTCCCCTCCTCGGCTCCTCTGCGCCCTCCTCCACCTCCCCCCTCCGACCTCTCCTCCCTCTCCTCGGCTCGGCCCCTCTCTTCCTGAGCTCACTCTGTCGTTGGCGTTCGCGTTGACTGGCCAGAGTCCGCGGGGCTGAACACCCTCATCTGATCCGCCGACCTCCCTCTCCATCTCTGCAGCTACTCACCCATTCATCTCAGTCCGGCCCTCAGGGTAAGTAGCCGAGAAAATATTTAACAGTTGGCCGGGTGTGTTTAGAGAGACGCCAGAAACACGGCCTCGCACACCCACACGCACACTTTGTCAGTGTGCTGCCTTTTCACAGATAAAGCTAAAAGTAAAGCGAGCAAACACACACACTTGAGCACTGAAATGTGGGTGTTATGTCAAACCTCTGCTCGAGGAAGTGCTTGTAAAATGACTGCTGATGCTGCTCTTTATTTCCTGTGTGTGTGTGTCTGTGTGTGTGTGTGTGTGTGTGCGCTCTAGCTGTAAAGTGTAGTTTGTTTAGAGTTGTGTGTTGCCCTTGACTTGCATCATTCCTCTCATGCCCCTGAAAGTCTGGCTTTCATTAACCCAACCTGATCCAGATAGGTTCAGAGTGCCTTTCTCTGCACAGAAGGGTACAATCAGCTGTTATTTATTTCTCTTTTTCCTCAAATAGTTCGGACAAACTGTGATGATAAAACAGTCCCGTTATTCAATTATAGTTTGTAACTCTGCTGTATGGTCTCCTTCCTTTTTCTCTGCTGCTTCCTTATAACAAGAATCTTTTTTTTTTTACTTCCGTTTTTTCTTGACAGTTATCTCACCGCTCAGCAGACGCAGGTTCCTCACAGCCCTTCCTGGTCTGTTTCTGACATCTGATTGGCCATGGCGTACCACAGCTTCCTCCTGGAACCAATTAGCTGCCATGCCTGGAACAAAGATCGCACCCGTAAGTCTGCTCGCCTCCTCTGATTGGTCTGGGTGGCTCCGAGTCGTCTCCTCTCTGAGCCCTCTTTTCAGTCACAGGCATCATGGAACATCTTGCTTCGACTAGTGTCTGCGCCGCAGAACAAATGGTGTAGCAGTCAGAGGTTTTGTGATTGGCTCCCAGGTGGGAGAAGGTATTTCCTGTTTCCTGTAGCAGTTAGGGTGGCGTCTCGGGGCCTTTCTGAGGAGCTTTTGTGCTGCGTTGGCTGCAGGAAATGAACGTCATATTTGGCCGTTTCGATCAGCGCTTTGGTTTCTGTGCAAAGCGGACGTGGTCGAGTTTGTCGTTTCACTCAACTTGAGTTTTCTCAGCTTGGGGGCGGAACGTTCACCAAAAAAAATAATTAAAAAGCACACTAAAGCACCCACACTGCTGCTTTTAGACAAACCGAGCATCTGACTCACCAGCTGACTAGAACATGCAGGGATGGCTACAGCATTGCGGGAAGGAAGGTTGCAGTTCTTGCACATCGTCTATTTAAAGATACCATGTGTCTGCGTGCTGCCTGGAGCCAGATTCATGCAGTATTTCTTCAGTTTTCCTCTGTTCTCGTGCACCAAGTCAGCTGTTCGGCGTTCCACTCCACTGATCTGCCCCACAAACTTCTCCCTTCAGTCACTCGGCCCTCACACTTTTCTGGCATTTCTGGAATGTTTGGCTCCACATGTGTACATTCTCTTTGAAACTTGACTGTGTACTTTAACTTTCTGTGCCTCAGAGATCGCCATGTGCCCCAACAACCACGAGGTCCACATCTACAAGAAGGATGGGACCCAGTGGACCAAGATCCATGAGCTGAAGGAGCACAACGGGCAGGTGACCGGTGAGATACAGACAGTGATTTGCTTGAATGTCTTTTGAATTGTTTTTCCACAAAGTTTAGAGACGTTGATTAAACCGATTTAAAGAAATAGTTCATTCTGGGTAATACACTTTGTACACAAAACAAAAACTTTTAGATAAACTTTTAGATAATATGAACAAAGCGTTTCCTCCCCCCTGCAGGTATCGACTGGGCCGCAGACAGTAACCGCATAGTGACCTGCGGCGCGGACCGTAACGCCTACGTGTGGTCCCTGAGGGACGGCGCATGGAAGCCCACCCTGGTCATCCTCAGGATCAACCGCGCCGCTCGCTGCGTCAAGTGGTCGCCGCAGGAGAACAAGTTCGCCGTGGGCAGCGGCTCTCGCCTCATCTCCGTCTGCTACTTCGAGCAGGAAAACGACTGGTGAGGTTCCTCCTCCTTTCTCGCATGAGAGCTTTTGCATTTGATTGTTACCAAAACCAACACTCCTCTCGTGTGCCGTCGCCGTAAAAGGTGGGTGTGCAAGCACATCAAGAAGCCCATCCGCTCCACCATCCTCAGCCTGGACTGGCATCCCAACAACGTGCTGCTGGCTGCGGGATCCTGCGACTTCAAATGCAGGTATGAGTCAATCAAGAGGGGTGTGCACATTTTAGGGATTGTCACGGCGCACAAATACAACAACAACAACCTCACCGCGTTGACCTTGGCCATGGTTTTTCCTTCACGTCTCGCCCGCAGGGTGTTTTCTGCCTACATAAAGGAGGTGGAGGAGAAACCCGGCCCCACCCCCTGGGGCAGCAAGATGCCGTTCGGCGAGATGTTGTTTGAATCCGGCGGGTCCGGCGAGGCGGGTCAGTCCTCCGCTGGAGGCGGAGGTTGGGTGCACAGCGTCTGCTTCTCCCACTCCGGCAGCCGCCTGGCCTGGACCTCCCACGACTCCACGGTGTCCGTGGCAGAGGGGGGCAAGAGCGGCACGTAAGCGAGGGCCCGGGCCGCGTACTTGTGTGCGTTTGTCGGTGTTCGTGCGCACTCTTAACCTTTTTCCTCACGACTCCGTAGGGTGAACAGTCTGCGCTCCGAGTCTCTCCCTCTGCTGTGCGTCACCTTCATCACCGAGAACAGCATCGTGGCAGCTGTGAGTATTCAATACGTTGGCATCTATCCTGAACATGTTAATCTGTCATTTTTATTTTATCCAGGTCCGAATTGTATTTACTACATCCATTCAATTTGAAAAAAAACTGATGCTAACTTACATATTGGAGGAGCCTTTTCACAGCCAACTCATTTTTAGCTCTGAGGCTTCAGATAAAGCCAAAGTAAAAAAAATGTTACAATATGGCGTTGTTGCTGTTTGTGGTGAAAAACTGAGCTCCCAACGCCAAGCCGGAACGACTGTGAGATACTGAGATGCACAGAAAGGGGACTATTTTCCTGCAGACGTTTTACTTGATTTAAATGCATGTAAACAGAGCGAGGAGGACTGAGGGAATCTTTGCAGGGCAGCACAGTTATAGGTGCATTCAAGAATTACATAATGTTTGGCTCCAAAGGGATGTGCAGTCCTTCTGTGAACTCGCTCCTGAGGGTATTAAATTAACGGGGCCTTTTATTGCTTGTGAAGAATGTGTTATTTCCCCTCCTTTAAAAAAAATAAAGAAAGGAAGCCATTGTTGCAGATGGGGACACATCATGAAACAAACATATTCCTCAAATAAGTCTACACATAGTGGCGTCTAGGTTTCTAGCTATAACTGGGTATAAATAAATAAATAACAAACTGGCTCCATATCACCGTATTGATGTTGTATCCGGCCGGAGCATCGTCAGCTCTTCCTCATGCGTTCCTGCTCCTTCAGGGCCACGACTGCTACCCGGTGCTGTTTGTGTACAACGGTGCCCAAGCCAGCCTGACGTTCGGCGGCAAGCTGGACGTTCCCAAGCAGACGGCCCAGAAGGGCATCAGTGCCAGGGAGCGTTTCCAGAACCTGGACCGCCGGGCCTCCGAGACCCAGAGCACCGAGAAGGACCTGAACAGCCTGCACAAGAACAGCATCAGGTGAGGAGAAGGAAATGAACAACAATTCTTTATTCTTTTTGCAACATCGATATCATATTTTGCGCAGAGTTTGACTTGTTATAAACTCTGTTGCAGCCAAATCTCAGTGGTGGAAGGAGGACGAAACAAGTGCACCAAGTTCTGCACCACCGGCATGGACGGAGGAATGGGCATCTGGGATGTCAAGGTAACGCACACATTGTACAGATTATACAAGAATACAATGATGCTGTGTTGTTGTGTCATATATAAGAGCTGAGCATTGGAAGTCTACCTTTTTTTTTTAACTGGATCAACCAAAATAAATCAGCACTATCTACTATTAAAACTTTTCCAGTCAGACGATACATTGCATTCAAACTTTAAAGTCAAGCGCAGTGTGGTTGGCAGTTCAGCTTGCTAAAATACCACTAAATGTTGAAACCTGCTGCCATATGTACATGTTTGCCATATATGTGTATGACTTGTGGTTAGAATAAGTACGTCATTGAGTCAAGCACTTTATCGGTATCACTTTACTGCTGTCATTATGTTTAAATGATACCCGGCCACGGTAGTGTCCTGTTGGCATGATGCTTTCCAATATAATATGCTAATATATCTCACCCTTTGTTCCCCCCTAGAGTCTTGAGTCTGCAATGAAGGATTTAAAGATTGTCTAAACCGAAGTTTACATCACCCAACGGATATTAGCTTCTGGAGATATGAAGGAAAACTGCTGCCTTATTACACAAAGCTTATTGGCCTTATTTTAATCAGGCATTTTCTATTCAATCGTAACGACCAGACTCTGCTCAAACAGTGTTTGTAATCCCTCTGAAGCTCTTTGCTGAGCTTGTTACTCAACATTGAATGTGAGGGACTGGCCAGATGTCTGCAAACAGTAGTTTATGAGTTTGGTTGTGTACGTAAAGAGAGCTGCGCCTGAGCTTCACGCTATAAGCAATAATTTTATATCAGTCATGAGAAAAGGCTACAGAATGTATTAAAGAGCTTATGCTGGTCATAACATGCATTTCATAAATAATTGCTGTTACAGTACTGAACAAATGCTTGGTTGTGTCACATTCTTCTTTGAAACAGTGGATGAGATTCTAAGAATCAGGTGAAGTTTGAAAAAACACCCCCGATGAAGACCATGAAGTGGGGTCAAAAGCCCAGTACGGATGATTTATTCTATATTAACATAAAAATGAAACATGATGGCTTTGATATTTTGTTGACACTTTTCAATTTGGCTAAAATGTAGCATTTCTCCAACAAAATGATATCCTGGTGGAGAGGAGAAGGCTTTGGATAAAATGTAACAGAACAGCTCAATGAATTAATGGAATGAGGTAGAAATAGTTAATTGTGTGGAATAACTTAAACATTATGGAAATGCTAACATGAGACACAAAAAATATACATACATGCCGTCAATTTTAAAACTGAATAAATGGTTATTGGGAGTCAGAAAGTCTGCACTTTGACGTTCAAAGTCAAGAAGGTGTGACTGAGTTTGAAAGGCGGCTCAGTTGCTTTCTGACTTGCGAAGAAGAAACTGTCAAAAGAAAAGTAAGCTTTCTAAAAAAAATAAAGTCGCGAATAACAAAACAAAATGAAATGGCTACATATTTTGTTGAATTCTGAAATACAGTATTTCTAAGTAAAAACAAAACAAAAAAACAAGCCGCTCTCCATTTTGTTTAAACGCTTAACCCAGATGACGTCACCATGACATCACCGGGGTTCGGTTTTTGGGTCCTTGAAATCGCGACACACAAATTGTGTTCTGCTCACCACAACGCGGGTGGACCCACGTGCCGCTCCAAGTAGCGTGTCTCCTTCAGCTGAACACGATGATTAAACGCAAAGCAATCGTCATCACATTACGTCATCAACCGGTCCCTCCAAATCCGTGCCGCCACCGCCCCCTGGAGGCGGAACCGGGAACAGCAGGTGTTTAAAAATAAAAAAATAAAAAACACACATCGTTAAATCTCCTCAGCAGTGAATCGGTCCTTGAGAAGAAGATGCGGCAGACCCTCAGTGATGGACGGGTAATGTGATGCGACCAAGCTGCGGCTGGACAGAGACAGACAGGGGGCACACAGGGGCAAGGGGGGAGGGAGAGGGCGTGTGTGGGGTGGGGGGGAGGACCACCACCAACATCAGCACCGGGCAGCAGGGAGGAGAGAGCGGCTGTCCCCTCCTCGCGCAGACCATCCCCGACGCCCACACTTCCGGACCGGAGCCTGTGGAGGCGGCTGGGGTCTCGGGATGAAACCGTCTCCCGGTGCCGCCTGAGATGAGGATTCGGGACGACGTGCTCCCCCGGTGAAACGGCGACGCTCGTTGCGTTGCATCAGACCCGCCCCGTTACGACCGGATCGCGCGTGACTCGGCGGTGACTCGAGAGGGGATCCGGGGCTTTGGCCGCGCTGTCTGTCTGCTGTCAACTGTTGCTTATTCCCACTGTAAATGAATCTCATAAGGTAGGTGCAACCGCCGCTTCACCGCGCTGACAACGCAACGTGTGATTGGGAATATGTATCATATTGATACCTGGAGGAGGATGAAGGGTTTGGGAAGGAGATGCCTGTGCAACCCCCCCCCCCAATGTTAACGTTTACATGTCATCATGTCTGTGATGATCTTGCAGCTCAGGTTTAATTTGCATTTATTAGCACACACAACACAACACCTGCCACGTCCCTCCTCCTCCTCCTCCTCCTCTTCATCATGTCTCTTCTGTCACTCTCCCTTTCTGTGTGCACAGTCTGCACCCTGGAAAACGCACAATAGGCCACACAATCGCACACCCCGTCTTGTATTTCTGGGTCCAGTTGGACACAATGTGAAGAGGTCAAACAGAGCAGACCAGTGCAACAAATGACAATAGTTTCATTTTAGAGTTCCCGTGCTGATTGCTTTCCAGATTCATCGGTTTCCAGCAAGTCAAATATCACTTGTGTGTTGTTGTCCATCGCACATTGCAGGGCGACACCTTCAAATGTCTTATTTTAGCAATCTAAAGGCCAAAGGTGTTCAGTTTTACACTGATATCAAATAGAGCAAGTCATCATATCTAAGCAGCGATTAGATAGATTAACTTATCAAAATGGTTTTAACGGTACAATGATTTTAAACCCGTTCACCACGAACCAAACCTCGTCAGCTTTAAAATACAACATGCCTGTCCCATGCGAAGTTCGACTACAGTACAGGTGCCATAACCTTGTATTCTTAAAGTAGTAGTAGTACTTTGATAAAAATACAGGAAAAGCACTAGACCTCAAACAGTTAATTGAATTATATAATAAATATTCTGTGCTGATCAAACCTTTTGAATGTAAAAATGTGCCACTTTTCTGTGTTTTATATAATTTTAAGGAGTTTTTTTTTTAGTTCCACCAAACTTCTATTTTCTATTTTTTATACTAAACAATTAGTTGAAGAAATTACTTGAAAACAATCAATATATATCTCAACTGTACATTTTATTTGTTGGAGACATTAATTGTAACCTTTAAGACATCACATCCTTAAAACCCCTGTCACAACGTCCCACGGCACAAAATGACCCCAAACACACTTAAATTGTAGTGTTATGCAGCTAAAATAAAACCAGCAAATCCTAAAACACGAGAAGCCTGAACCAGACATTTTGTCAGTGACTTTAACGAACAATTTATTATTAAAATATTTGCCAACTCATTTGCTATCCTGGGACTAATCAATTATTTAGCTGGTTGTCTCAGCTCTCCCAGAAGCTTCTTCATTGACTGTTTCCCCTCTTTTTCTAAACGTGCGCGCTGTGCACGGACGCACAAAGGGTCGGACCAAACAGGGCTGCGAGTCCACGCCCACCGTTAAGTGGACGGAGGTTTTGGTCTTCACGGCTCAACGAGTCCGTCCCTTCTGTCCGTCCTGCTGTCGTATGAGAAGAGAAGAGCCATGGGGACGTTTCCGCGTATCTGCCCCTCTGCGTCCACTTAGTGTGTCTCTCTGCCACGGCCTCCGGCCCGGTAATTATCGGCCAGCTTGATGAAGTCATTTAATGACCCGGCCAAGCCTGCTGGGCCTGGCACTGAGAAACACAACACAACACACACCAGTACACACATACACCGAAGGGGGAGGAGGGGGGTTTACGGTTGTGAGGCCTGCAGAGAGAGGATGCCTTATCTTCTGGACCGGGTCAGCGTTAATAACTGTGAGAGAATGTCACTGAAAAGCTGCTTCAGGAACAGAAGCAGAACGCAGGAAGACACACGAGGCGCGTTTGTTAATGTTGCAGCCGTTGTCTTTGTGTGTAACGTTTTAACCTCCATTTAAGGAGGTTCAAAGCAGGCGACGTGTAGGCGGAGAACATCACGTTCTACCGTTTCACACTGAAATATAAACTGGACAGATTTGAGGGAGGCGCCCCTCCACCTGGCCTGAAATGTTTGTTTTCCTCTGTGAAGATGGCACATATAAGGTAATGGTTTTGTAATATAATTATGGAAGATGCTGTTAAGTGTTGGATTTTGATTTCTTCAAAAAATCCCCCCAAAAAACAACCGATCAGATGCTCATGAATTCCAAATATGTAAATTCATTTTTAATTTGAGTGGTATTCCCTTTGATGGCCTATTTCCTATTTTGAGTCCCACCAATCTTGTGTGTGTGTGTGTGTGTGTGCGCGCGTGTTTGCATGTGTGGGTGTGTGCGCCCGCGTTAGAAAGAGAAAGACGTTGCTATATCTAGGTCTCTTATGAAATCTGGCTGTGCAAGACGCAGCATAAAAGTAGGGAGGGGTTGTGGTTTGTGTCTCCCTGTTAATGTGCGTGTGTGTGTGTGTGTTTTGTGTGTTCGCATGCACGTCCTTGTCCATTGGCCTTCCTGCATGTTAATTCAATTGTCGGGAAGCGCAGAGGAGACGTGGTCTGGGAGCAGCGGGGGAAGATGGGAGAGATGAGAGAAGAAAGATGAGAGAAACGAGGAGTTTTCTGGTGTGTGAAAAAAAAAAAAGACAATCCCTACTCGGGGTTTCCATGACAACAGTGACATCACCGGCGGGGTTGCTACCCCATGAGCTGCTCTCTGTTTGTTTGGGTGTCTGTTCAAAAGGACTGATTTGAATTTGTGTTCTGGTGTGTTTTGGTGTTTGTGACAACATACGTGCAAGACTGCACATGTGAATTGTGCATGAAGGGGATCATCAGGACAAACCCTCTGTCGGTTCAGCCGGTCCGTGGTTACCCACTGTTGCCAGGCAACTGCAGTCATGGCAACAAGATGAAGCATGATCTAGTGTTGCTAGGCAAAAGGACACGACGGGGGGAGATTTTATGAAATGGGTACAAATATTTAAGGCGTTACAGTTCTTCTTTTTTATGGTGGATTTCTTTCTTTCTTTCTTTCTTCACATCACAGTTTGCATGTTTCCCTTCGTGCTCATGTTATTGTGTCGGCTCTACTGGGGTCAGTGCCCCTTTCTTCATGAAAGTGCATGTCCTTTTTACTCTCTTTGCACACTATAAAAGGCGATTGTAATGTGTATTTGGTTCAAATGTTTCATAATTCTGCAAAGAAAGATGAAAAAGAACACGTTGTTTTTGGACATCCAAGAAAGAAATCCTTACCCATATGATTCCCTCAAATTCTGCATTTAGGGACACAAATGGATACTATTGTTGCATTTATCTTTTATTTGTTGTATTAGCTTCAGCTGTGCTGGTGTGAAGAGAGCTGCATGCAAGCGAAGCTCACATCTAATTGTTAGATTTCAGTGCAGACATTAAACCTTTTCATGGAGATGTATCGACTTAAACCTGGTGATTCTCTGATGATTTCAGGTTTATGAACAACCGCGTTCCTCCTAACAAGAGATACCAGCCCACAGAGTACGAGCATGCTGCCAACTGTGCCACGCATGCGGTGAATGCACACACACACACACACACACACACACACACACACACACGCATGTTTGTCTGTTTGTTCGCCTGTAACTCGTGTCTCATCTCTGTGATTAATTCCTCTAGTTATGGATAATCCCCAGCCTGCTGGGCAGCTCCTTGTTGCACTTCCAGTCGGAGGACCAATGGGAGCGGCTGTCGGCCTGGGTGTACGGGGCGGGGCTCAGCTCGCTCTTCATCATCTCCACCCTCTTCCACACCGTGGCCTGGAAGAAGAGCCACCTGCGGTACGGAAACACACACACACACTCACACACACAACACTCGTGCAGGACTGTCACGCCGCTGATGATATTCGTGGTAAAAGAAAAAAAAGCTTCCTGCGTGGCCCCTTATTTCACTCAAGAGACACACTAGAACCAATGTGCAGATCCCCCACAGTCCAGATTTGTTTTTGAGAATTAAAGCACACGGATGCGGCATGTATAAACGATGTCACACGTTTGGTTTCTCTCTCTCTCTCTCTGCAGGTCTGTGGAGCACTGCTTCCACATGTGTGACAGGATGGTGATCTATTTCTTCATCGCCGCCTCCTACGCCCCTTGGTAAACAAACGAGCCCGCCTCACGTGTGCGTGTCTGTTTTACGCGCCGTGTCTGCAGTCACGTGTTCCTCTCCCGTGCCCCGACAGGCTGAACCTGCGGGAGCTGGGTCCCTGGGGGTGTCACATGCGCTGGCTGGTTTGGGTCATGGCCTCTTTTGGTACCACCTACGTGTTCTTCTTCCACGAGAGGTGGGTTCATCCGTTCATTTGTCCATCCATGTTGAAGGACGGGGAGTGTTTAGGTGCTGCAGTTGAAAACTAACAACCAGTAAAGCGGCACATTGAGTTGAATTTCCTCTCTTTGTGTCAGGTACAAGATCACAGAGTTGATCTGCTACACGGTGATGGGAGTTTTTCCCGCCCTCGTCATCCTCTCAATGGTGAGCGTTTAACTTTCGCCCGCAGTCCTTCTCTTCCTGCCTTCATGGTGACGTGTTTAAAACGTGACAAGATGTCTGCTCCTTTGCAGCCGGAGCAGTCGGGGTTGTGTGAGCTGCTGGTGGGCGGAGCCTGCTACTGTCTGGGCATCGTCTTTTTCAAAAGTGACGGCATCGTGCCGTTCGCGCACGCCATTTGGCACCTGTTTGTAGCCATGGGAGCATCCGTACACTACTACGCCATCTGGAAGTACCTCTACGCCCAGCCGGCCAATCAGATCGAGACATCCAGATGACATCAGGGCCGACCTCACAGGAAGTAACTCCCGCGTTTGATGCCCGCCGTGTCCCCCATTCACAGGCAGCTTCCTGCGGAGTTGGCCCAACCTCCTGCCCGAATAAACAGCGGAACATCGCAGGGACAAAACTGACGGTGCATTCGGCCGATCCTCGTCAAACGCGCGATCAGGAATCCCACTGCTCTTCTTGGCGGGACCCTGAGTGGTCAGGGCGACACAGCCCATCGCTCGGGGTACCGGCAGCCTGGTGCTCGAGCGCAGGCCGCGTCTCCCAAAGAAAGCCAGTGGGATTCATAATAAGGCCCGAGGTCGTACTTATGCACGTACTGACGAGGCTCGTACTGACATGCAAATGGTAACGACGTGTCCTAATTAGCACACAAAACACAAAGTACAGCGGAGGCGGACGCGATCGCAGTCGGTTTTGCATTCGATTTTCAATTTTCGAAGTTCATCTTGAGGGAGAAGAGGTTCGGGGGATTACGGAAGTCATTAAGAAGCATCTTCTGGTGACTGTGAATGTCTGTACAACATTTGGTAAAAAAAAAGTCAAAGCATCTGAACGCACCACCGTAGGCCACTGCGCTGGAAACTGGAAATAATTTTCCAGTTTCTTCGACCCCCGATGAGGCGGCCTGTGAATCGAGACACGGCAACACGTTTTATTTGTCTTTGCAGCCTTCCGGTTAAGTTCAACCTCAAGCTAGTTCGTGCAGGAACTTTGGTTCCATTACAAAGATGAGGAGATGTAATGTATTAAACGTTCTCTCTCGGTGGTGCACATCTGGATTCAGTGTTCGGACGCTGAATTAGAGGCATTGTCTTATTGTCGAGAGGAGGACAAAGTTTCCAATCAGCTGACTCGACTATCATAATTTATTTGAGGACATCGTTTGACGGTTTTGCTTTGATCATATCCAGGAAGTTGCAACATGAGTAGTATTGTCACTTCTTTTGTTACTACTTGTACTATCTACATTATACTACACTTCAGTCAGTGATTTACTGTGATTTCCAAATCAAGCATGATTGTAGATTTTTTATTTATTTATTGGAACATACAGATCTTCATGAAGTTTTCTTTTGTGCCACGTACATTTTTTCAGGATCTACAGATTTTGAAAAAGTTTACTGTTGTAGATTGACGGTTTAGTGAATATGTCATCGGTAGGATTTATACGCTATATATTTATTAACGGCGTACAGTGTATGTTGACTCCATCTCTACTTTTATCTGATGTACTTTACCTGTCGGCTAATTATCTTCACCATCTTGAACTTAATGAACGGGACCATTTGATGGAGTTTGTAAGCGCTACATGGTTGAACCCAAGAAGGCAAAACTCAGCACTGCCAGAAGTCTTTACTGCCGTAACCTGATAGCACACTACTACCATATACAACTCACACTTGAAAGGAAACTGAAGCTATAGTATTGTTGAACAATCTGGCCCAATATTAAGGCATCTCAGGTGTGTGCGTGTGTGTGTGTTTGTATGCATCCTATACTATCAGACTCCCATGAACCCAAAGCCTGTAATCGGCTGAGTCTCTGTTTACGCGTGCATGCATGTACCTTGAACACATAAAAAGTATCAGTGGTGTTAAGCTGTATGTGTATATGCACGCAGTGTTTTGGACGAGCTTGTGTCGTAGGATCAATGTGGCCCTAAAGGTCGCGGCGTCTAGTGTTCATAGGTGTAAAATAACTTCTTCAAAACTTCTGTTCCCATTCAACATGTTTTTCGCTGCTGTTTGTCCCTCAGGATTTGGATCATTTGGCTCTGAGGCGCCTGTGAAGCCACATTCAAGGTCCACTAAACCTGCTCAAGTTGCAACAAAAAGGCCCGAGTTGGGCAGACGTGTTTTCCGCAAGCTGCATACACGGGTAGCATTTATTAATGTGTACAAACACTGAGGATATTTCAGCAGCAGGATGAGTTTGAAATAAAGAACCTTACAATCATCCATTGACCAAAGCTGACCAATCCTCTAAATTTGCTCCAAACTATTTGCTCAATTTCTGCGCGATAAATACTAATTTGATGTATTTTCATTCAAGTGAGTCCTGTAACTCTTGACAAAAATGTGGTTTTCTGTTTTCTAAGTAGGTCTAATTACTTATTCTCTAAATAGTTCAACTTTACAAATATTGTCAAAGAATTAACAACATATCTGCACATTTTAACAAAGGAGCAACTGTGCAGGAACCGACTCCTCAACAGGGCGACTTAAATACACAAAATGTCATAATGTTCATTGCTCAATATTACTAAAGGTTTTCCTTTGTTTCAATTTACCAACCAGCATATGAATGCATCATTAAACTGTAGCGTCTTAACAAATATATCCAGAGAAAAAATAAACTAGAAGTAACACAAATCTTTGTTATTCTCATTGTTCCCTTAGTCATTCATTCATTACAGGACACTTAAAGTCAAAGCAAATGTATTCTGACGATGGACTGAGAATTACATTTGTCACACTGTGGACATCTTTATGAATGAAACTGATATATATTCCCATTTCAAGAGTACCTTATTGTTCCGGAGTACTCTCGGGTGTTATAGCCGATCGTTGGCAGTATTATACCATATAGTACATAAAGTATTTGAGGATTTCACGTTTGTTTGTCTTGTCTAGAATTGAATACCTGTCTCATTCGGACGTACAGTTGCCCACCTGACTTGGTATGGAGTTATGTAAACTCTCCAGGGAGCCTTCGTGGACCCTCTGTACATTGTTTATCGATGCTCTGTGATTGTGGAGCTGCTGACTCTGATCTCAGAGCTGCTCAGCGTGTTTTTCTTTTGCGGTTGTACAAGATTTATTATATTATCTGATATTCTTTCTCTCTCTAGTTTTCTGTATGTGGGTATTGGTGCTTTTGTGCTGTGATAAGCCTATTGATGCCAATTATGCTTTTGTCTTTTCTATTTCTCTTGTAATAAAAAAAAGCTTTTCATGCAGTATATTCCTGTGCTCAACCTTTTGTAATGTTTCACCTCTTTTTGTCTACAGAAGAAGTTTAGTTCTTATAGTAAAATAAAAAATAAACTATAACAAAAAAGCTATTTTCACGGATGCACTGTTGACAGTATTTTTTTTTAGCCTAACCAAACTTTCATGTCAAGGATAGTGAATTAAATCAAAAAGAGCTGGATTCATTGGTTTCAATTGAGAAGGACTTGGTGCATCTTAAAGCACATAACTGTAATTAAAATAAAATCACAAGAAAGCTAATTAAATCCATAGTGTATCCTTGAACGGTTAATGAATGAAACAGTGAAATGTGACTACCATATATTTTGTATGCGTTTTATATACACATATATGTTTCATGAATGGCAATACTAACAAGTATATCAATAACCCAACATATATACAAGTATGATCAACATAATTTGCTGCTTAATTATGGAATAAGCAATCATATTGATAATCCCAGACAACATATATAAACGATTTAAAAATGAAAACTGTATTTATTTCCTGAAAGTCTTCAAATGAACTATTTGGATCATCTCGTGACGGTACCGCGGGTGTCCGCCAGGGGGCGACGTGTGCGCGCGCTCGGGTGCCAGATCAGGTGCGCCGAGGTGAGGCGGCGCGCAGCGCTCGGCTGTTTCCGTCGCGTCCCGTCGGTGAGCCTCGGTGAGCCTCGGTGGATGGGGGAATGCGGTGGCCGCTGGCAGCGGGCATAGCTGGACACTCGGCGGAGATGTGCGCACGGAAACAGGAGCCCTCGGCGGTAGGCTGTCGTTCAAGTTAACGGGCAGTTCTTTTTCGGGGGCGTTAAAGTGTGTGGACGGCTACGGACGCCTGGGTGTCGCTCGTTTTTTTTTTTCTTTCTTTTTTTTTTTTTTACCTCCCTTCCCTCCCCCGACTTTATTTTTCCGGGGATTTTCTGTGTTGCAGGAGAGCCCGGAATGAGGGAGCAGCCAGGGAGGATTCCCCACGCATTGCAGGCAGCGTGAGTACCAACGCAACAGACACCCAGGGGCGCCCCCGGGGGACTGGGCTCGTCCCTGCTGGAATCGCACAACTTTTCCAGCCTTTATTTGATATTTTACCAACATTAGCCGCAGACCGTTATGTATTTTAGCAGCCCCCCCCGACGCGGTGGAGCATTTCATTGTCGTTGAGTTTTTTTTCACATGTCGAAACGGCGCTGCCCGCTAATTGATTATTAATTGCGTGCACGCGAGGAGCTCGATCACCTCACCGGCGCACCTGCTGACCGTTGGGTGGGGGGCGGCGGCTCGTCGGCGGCGGCTAGTGCCGCGCCTGACGACTCATCTGCGGATTAATTTCTGAGGATTTTCTCCTGCCTTTTGTTGCTTCGGCGGTTGCTACTGGCGACCGCTGAGCCCCGGAGTCGTAAACAGACGGACAGACGGGCACCGAGCGGAGAGCAGAACCCACGAGTTGTGCATATCTTTAAGCAGCTGCTTCTTCTTCCGTCTGACCTTCTAGACAAGGACAGGAGGGGAAGAAAAAAAAAAACTGGAGGAGAAATTGAAGTCTGTGTGACATAATCTTCCAAACGTAACAGTTCACCCCGGGGCCACAAAACACTGTCCAGCAGAATAAAAAATGTAGGCCTGAGTCCACCTCAACGCACGGGGTGGCATGTTGGTCCCACGATTGAGTTAACTGCGGTCCAAGTAGCCAGATTACTGTGGATTAGCAGGCATTTAAAATAGTCACGTTATCCCAGCAGTGCCTGCAGAGTCAGTTTCAACAACACCTTTTAGGGTCCTCGCCAAATATCTGTTGATACTCACAATCGCTCCTTTTATCCGATGAGATATATATATATATATATATATATATAAATATATATATATATATAATGTGTGTGTGTACGCCTTGAAATGCAGTGTCTCCCTTATGGAACCTGCATGAAAGGAGTCAAAGAGGTCATGCGAGTCAGAGTGAAGCGTGACTCCCCTTTCGGCGGGGGCATGTTCTGTTGAGACCCAAATGCATGACCTGCATGCAGAAATAGTAGTTAAAAAAAAAAGGATTTTCAATGAAAGGTTTATTGGTTCAGATGTACCACGGTTGAGATCACTCTCCCGACGGATGGGAATCGCTACACTTTGAGGGGAATCAATGCAACACGATCAGACACTGGAAAATGCTCAGATGTATAAAATGAGGGGATGGCGCAAGAATATTCAACATTTATTGGATCCGGATTTTCTAATTTTATTGTGAAAAATGTGCTTGTGTTGGACTGTTGATCAGAGGAAAAAAAGCATCTGAAGGAAGAAATCACCTTGAGCTTTAGTTTTAGATGCAACTTAATAAAGTGTTTTATCAGAAAGATCATTGAAAAAAAAACAAAAGACAGCTTTTAAATTGCCTTTTCCTTTGTTGCCGCTGCAGTGTGAAAGGGGATGGTGAAACGAAAAGCCTCTGACCCTCAGCAGCACCCTTCTGCCTGCTGCCCCACATCGTAGCGACGATAACCATCGAGGTAATGGCCAAATACACCAACGCACGGTTTTAGTTATTTGTCACCATCTGTTTATGATAAAGATCATTCACAGCTCTTAAGTCCATCGTCACCGTTTGTGTCTGTGGGAATATTTAAATCGGGTGAACCAGCAGAATGTTTAGAATGTATTTCCTCGCTCGCCAGCTGTGGAGTTTGTGAAGCCAACAGCAGCACCATGTTCTACGGTTCTTCCTCTGGGGCCAGCATGTCCCTGCCATCCAAGAGCCGGCTGAAACGCCAGAGCAGGACCTTCACACAGGTACACACACACACACACACACACACACAGACTGCTTTTCATCTCTGTAAGTACATCAAGTAAAACAAAATGTGTCTGTCACCAGGTCCTGTACCGTACGCTGAGCTACAGAGACCGCGTCCCAGTAGAGACCGGGACAAACACCCGCGGGGACCGGCGCTCCACCACCGAACCCCCGGAGCGGCCGGCCGACGACCCGGCCGAACTGTCCACGCAGAGCTCGGCCCCCGGCGTGCTGAAGATCTTCGGGGATGAAATCTGTGCCGGCGCCAACTACAAGAGCGTCCTGGCCACCCCGCGCTCCAGCGCGCAGGAGCTGGTCAAAGAGGCGCTGGAGCGCTACTCCCTGAACAAGAACGCGGCCCACTCCTACGTGCTGTGCGACGTGATCGGCCGGTTGGAGGAGGAGGAGGAGGAGGAGGTGGAAGGGGGCGGCGGCGGGATCGGCGGCGGAGGAGGCGCCTGGCGAACCGAGTGCCTGCGTGCGATGGGGGACAACGAGAAGCCCCTGTTGCTGCAAGAGCTCTGGAAACCCCGAGAGAGACACGCTCGCAGGTTTGAGCTGCGCCCGAGAACAGAGGTGGAGGAATTCAACGCCAAGGAGAAGACACCGTCTCCGCAGGTGACTGCACATACATACACACACACACACACACACATGTAGATAGACAGCTGCACACATATTCACATTCATGCACGCACACACACACACACACACACACACACACACACACACACACACACACACACACACACTCTGCAGCCGGTCTAATTGCCTTCCTTTCTTGACACGTCAAACTCAGCAGAAAGGCACAGCTCGTTACCTCCTCTGCAGTGTGTTTGTGCGTGCGTGTGTCTGTGTGTGTGTGTGCGTGTGTGTGTGTGGAGATGCTCTTCCGGCGCAGTAATAATCCTGCAGAGATGATGTGGTTCCTCGGTGATAACCAGTGTGTTTCTTTTGTCATGTGGTAGTGCTGTTTTGCAAAGACAGGGTCTCGTTTGAGTTGCACACACACGTGCGACCGAGCACTTAAAGAAAAGCGTACGCACGCACACACACACACACACACACACACACACACACACACGGGGCAGTGGAAATGCATGGACAGCTGGTCGATTAATTGAGTGAAAGCTGAACCCTCTGCAGGCGGGAGGTGGAGGTGGGTGTGGGCACCTTAGTGTTTTTATGAATGGCACCTTCTACGTACACCTCATCAGCCACCCGCACACAACGGCCGTGTCACACCTGAGCTGTGAACACACAACCGATGTTGATGTTTCCTGCAGGCTTTCACTCTGTTCTCTGGTTAGATTGTAGGTGGATAAGTTTACTGATGTTGGATGGATTTGCAATACACACACATGCTTACAGTCTCCCCTGTGCATCCTGTTGAAGACATTTAGAAACACAGTTAGTTGCATATGTTTGACACATAAAATAAGCTAATTATTCTTATGACTACCTCCTTTTTTTGTGGGTATCATCGCTGGGAAGCCCCATCTACTGTGAAACTAAATAGCGTATTTGATGAGGTGGAACCAGGGATTAATATGCATATTAATTCTTTTTTCACAATAAGAATAACCTTATCAACAAAACAACAATATCATCCGAGCAAAAATGCCTCCTGGGATAAAATGCTTTATTAACTTTTACATATCAGTATTAACATTTTCATTTTCATACTAACCTCTTCTCTTTTGTGTTGTTGTGTTTAGAAATCTCACACACACCCCGGAGTCTCTTTCTCTTTACTTCTGTCTTTTGCCGTTTTGCCTCTGGTGTATGTGTGAGTGTGCATGCACGTTTGTGAATTGTGTGTATTTTCACACACACCTTTTGACTTTGAGATCTCATTTTAAAGGTACTGTAGGATTTTCATTAATTCCATCAACATATCACAGACAAATAATTCTTGATATCAACCCTCACTGAGGCAATTTACATTATTATATAGTTTGTGATAAAATAAAAAAATGAATGTAAAATCTTAGTAATTCAACAGTGATATGTTAGAGGAGGAAATCCTGTACCTGATACCTTCAACTGTCTCTCCTTACTAACTGCTGACGTTACTCACTAGAAGCACCACAGACCCATTTGGACTCCACAGTGCATGTGCGTCTTGTGGTGTGTGGATGATGTGTGTGTGTGTGTGTATATGGGGGTTATTCTGTGCTTGGTGTTTTGGTGAGGGGGGTGTTTTTTCAGCCCCCTCCTCCCCCCTCTCCCTAACCCCTCCCACCCTGCTGTAGGGCCCAAAACCTCCCAATTCCTGGCGGCTCTAATGGGTCGGTCCGGGCTTGGCAAGCACAGGAGCTCCCCCCTGCGCTGTGGTCGGGTGGTACAGTCCAGCTCTAAAGGTGGGGACTGGCCTCAGGTAGGGTGGCTGTCAGTCATTGCCATGGAGACCACCTCTACCTGCGTTGTCACCGGCGCCACCCCCATTGCCAGTGGTGCAACCGGTGTGTGTTAGTGTGTGTGTGTGTGTGTGTGTGCAGAGCCATCGCATGGCCACAAGTTAAAGTCATGAGGAGCTGCTCAGTTCACCTCTCATCGGGTTACGTGTGCCGCTGCAACCAGCACCATTTGACTTAATCGGACCGGTTTGTTTCCACTCGGCTCACTCATGACTGTTAATGCACTCGTGTACCCGTACTGTCACTCATGAGTCAAACATACATGCTAACAGTGCACATGTCACGTTTCAGGGCACTTTCTTCTTCTTTTCCATTGTTCCCCTCTGTGCCCTCCACCTTCGCTTGTCCCCCCGTGTGTTTGTGAAGAGGTGGGGGGGGGGGGGTCTTTATTGTCCTTCTCTCGCTCCTCGTTGCGCTCTCTTACTCCTCCTCTCTGCCTCCCTTGTAGATATTAACGCTCAGGCCCGTAAGCTCCAGAGGAACAGGGCAAAGGGCACCCTGACGCTGCCCCGATCCAGCAACTCGTCCTTCAGTCGAAGCCTGAGCGAGACCAGCCTCAACCAGGTGGGGGGCCCCTCGCACTGACGTCATTGGTTGGCATTATTTAAGTGACTGGTGGCCGCGTAATCCTCAATGCACGCGTGTCTCTGCGGTCTGCAGCTGGGAGTGGGAGATGAGCCCAAGCGCTACTACTCCACCCTGCCGGGGCCCCTGAGGGCCCGGGAGCGCGAGGCGGCCTCAGGCGGCCGGAGGAAGGAGGAGGGGGGGAGTCAGCCGGGTGTGCGGCACTCGCTTTACCAGTCCCCGCACCTGCTGCTGCTACAGGGGTACAATCAGCAGGTGAGGAGAGGGGAGGGGTCCGTGCATTGCGTCAGAGACGCCCGTGGTGTCGGATCGTTCGATGTGACTCGTGCTTTGTGCGTCAGGACTGCTTGGTGTACCTGCTGAACAGAGAGCAGCACACGGTTGGTCAGGAGACTCCGTCGGCCCGCCCCAACATCTGCCTCTTCTCCCCCGACATCCTGCCCCTCCACTGCCGCTTGCGCCGAGTCCCCGCGCCCCGTCGCCACGCCAACGGCAGCACCAAGGGGGAGGAGGCGGAGGGGAGCCCGCGGTCCTGCGTGGCGGTGGAGCCGGTGCTCCACGCCGCGGTGCTGGTGAACTTTTCCCGATGTGAGCGCTCCACCACGCTGCGGCACGGCGACCTGCTCTCGTTCGGGGCGCATTACATCTTCCTGTACAAGGACCCCACGGGCGCCAAGCCCCTCCCCGCTCAGACCTTGGCCCGCCTCCGCTCCCTGGGGCAGGTTTACGACGCCGGCTGGGAGGAAGGGGAGGGCGGCGCGCACACTTGTAAGATGTGCGGTTCCGTCCTGAAGGACAAGGCGGCGCAGGTGTCCAGTGTTCCCGCGATCCGACGCAGCTTCAAGCCCCACCTGGTGAAACCCCGCGGCGGGGGGCCGGCGGCGGGGGGGCCCCATGGTTCGACCGGAGGGGAAGGAGGACGAGCGGGAGGCGGTCAGAAAAGAAGGCTGCAGCTGGAATTTGATCAGAGTCACGAAGACCAGCTGCTGAACAGGATCGTGTCTCTCATCGAACCCGGAGGTGTGTGACCTGATTTATGTTGATCACACGATGGACGCTGCAAGACGAGATCTCTCTCTATCCATGTAGATTGTTTGTATGTGCATGTTTTGAGGAACATTACACGTATGTTTACACACTGTAAACATCTGGATTTTTCTTTTAGATCTGTGAGCTACGTAAATAGTAAGAAACCACCGGAAGTATATGAGAAAATGTTCTATAAGTTCGGTGAACTGAAGCTTTTAAGCTCCTCCCCAGGAGACGACCATAAGCTGACCCCTGCCTACCTGCTGTGTCTCTGCATTCAACACTCGGCTTCAACCTTCCAGCCGGGGAGTTTTGGGAAACTACTGCTCAAGATCGTCCGACTAATCCAGAGCATTGCATGGGTCAGTATCTCTCTCTCTGTCCCTGTTTCTCTATCTATAAAAGTATGGTCTCCGTAGTGTATGAAAAAGTGTTGAGATATGGATAAAAAAAAAAAATTGAAGTGATGTACAGATTGGGCCTGATTCTCTTTGAGTGGATCCCGTGGAATTAGAAAGGACACTTTGCTAGAGCTTATCTTGTGTTTTCATCTGAAGCAGAATCTCACCCAAGAAATTGTTTAGCGGAGGTAATTAGAAACCCAGAATTTGCCACGTTCAGTTATGAGATCACAGGCCGATCTGAAACTTGAATGTATAACCTGATGTGAGGAGTGTGCCTCTGTTTTAAATCACTGCTGGAAACCCGAAACATGGTACAGCCTACAGTTTTTTATTCTCTGGTTAATCCACCTTTTATTCTGAAAAGGGTGTGGGGGATTCGGGGGGGGGGGGGGGTCCTCTTATAAATAGAGTTAAGCCTTTATCTTGTCCAATGAAGTGCGTCTCAGAGTGTTTTTTCTTTCTGCAGGTTAGTGATGGCGTCATGAAGTTTGGTTCTCCTACGCACATCCTAAAAGTTTAATGAGCGCTTAATTGCTGTGTGTGTGTGTGTGTGTGTGTGTGTGTGTGTGTGTGTGTGTGTGTGTGTGTGTGTGTGTCATGCAGGAGAAGACAAAGGAGCTGGCTCAGAAGCAAGCTCAGCAGTGAGTATCACTTTACAACAGAACGAGAGCATATGTGCTGCTGTACAGTTTTTAAGTAGCTTGGTGTGTTCAGTGTGGCAGAATTTAACCCTTCACTCGTTGTGTGTGTGTGTGTGTGTGTGTGTGTGTGTGTGTGTGTGTGTTTCTGTATCCTAGTAACCAGGACCCAGCCAACCTGTCTCTGCTCAGTATCTCTGACTTGATCCCAGACCTGCAGACCATCTTCTTCTGGATGTCCAACTCCATTGAGATCCTCTACTTTATACAGCAAAGAGCACCGGCGTACACACACTGCATAGAGACACTGCAAGGTACACACACACACACTTGAGGGGTCTGAAGGATGAGTGTGGAAGAGTCATTACTCAAGCTGACACACATTTGACATTGATGTAGCTCCATCCCTCCCTCCCTCTGCCTCCATCGCTGTCATCTGTGTTTAGGGTCAAAGGAGTCGCTGCTATCTGCGACCATATCAGCCAATGAGGAGGCAATGACCATCTTGGAAGAAGTGATAATGTACACTTTCCAGCAATGTGTCTACTATATCACCAAGGTAACCGGTCACCGCGGCAACGGCACATTATTTTTTAAAAATCTAATTTTATTTCTTCATTTTCGTGACGACAGGTCGTCATTAACGCCGAAAGCGTCACACGCACAGTGAAGGACGGGATGGGATCCAAATGTGAATAAGTTGGATGTTAATTTGCCATTTGGGATTCCCTTTCTCACAATGTCTGTCTGCAGGCTCTGTACGTAGTGTTACCAGGTCTGTTGGACTGTAATCCGTTCCCAGTCGACAGCTCTGAGCCCTGCTGGAAAGGAGGTGTCGGGTTTCCCGAACCAGTGCGCAGGGTCCTCCAGGTGAGCACGTGTCCCGTAGCGTGTTTTAGTACACTGAGGTGTTGTCGGGATCGTGGAAATGTAATCGATTATTAATGGTCAGAAAGTGTCAGGAATAGTCTGTTTTTCTGATGTCAGTCAGAATCCTGAGAAGAGCTCTTAGTATCTATTATTTAAAAAAATGATTCTATATCTTGACATGGACCAGTGGAAGAAAGGAATGTTTTGAGTGTGTTCATTAAGAGTGTTAATTAGCAGAAGGGATGCAGATAAATCGTAAAGTGACATTTATGAATAATACCAGTAAGCAAGTTATCAACAGCGTGTGTCTAAAATGACTGCAGCGCCTGCACCTTCCGGGGTGAAGGATGAGACGCAGGTCAGAGGGGATTGTTGACATCTTTCTTTATTTCGCTTCGTGCAGCAAGAACTCAAGGTCGAGGGAGTTAAACTCTGGTTGCCTCCTGTTGTGTTACTCTTATTAGTTGGGATCTTTCTGACATCTGATTACAACGTAAACTGATTCCTTAGATGCAAGAATATTATCATTTGATGGAAAGGTGCCGCCTTGTATGTGTATATATGCACATATATATGTGTCGGCATATTTGTCCATAATCAACTTAGACGTAGTATTTTGATTTGATTTGTCTTCCCTGTGTGCAGGTGTTTCAGAATGGCCAGGAGCTTCTGCAGGGCTACCAGGTCCACCTGGAGATTCAGGCTCAGATGTTTGCATATCTCTTCTTCTTCTCCAACGTGTCTCTGTTTAACCAGCTAATGGACAAAGGTAGGGACAAAAAGCCTGCACACTCACACTCCATTAAACCTCCCTCAGGACTCCTGCAGTTGTTGGTTTGTAATGGAGAGAGAGAGTCTGAGTGTCCTTGTGTCCTTGTCAGCATTTTGACAGAGACAGAACACAGATTTGCCCTCAATGCCCTTCCTCTATCTGCATCTTGTGTGCCCCCCCGCCCCTCCTTCTCCTCCTCCTCCTCCTCCTTGCCGTCCTTCCTTCCATCTGGCCATCAGAGGGTGAGACAAAGAAGAGGTTGGATTGGATGAGGGAGGGAGAGGAGAGGAGGGAAAAGGTCAGAGTGGAGGGCGAAGGGCTGTTGTTGCGATAACCTCACTAGTTGTCTATTACCTAAATACAGAGAAAATACCCCCCGTTTAGCCCGGCTTTATCTACGTGCCCAACCACCCGTCACTTCCAACCTCGCGCTGCACACACATGGAGACGGGAGAGATCACATTTAGGAGAAACACCCCTATATACATGCAGAGGCTCCCCTGCCTCCCTCTCTCCATCCGTCTGGCTTTCTCTTTCTCTCCCTCCCTCCCTCCCCGCTTGTCGCTCATTGACATTTCTCCGCTGCTGGTGTCCATGGTAACAGCAAAGTGAGTTTGTGGCAGGTAGCGCTGACGCTGGCAGCGAGCTCTCTGCGGCGCTCACTCTGCATCTCACAGCGAGTCGAGGAGGAGATGTGAGGTGGTGCAGAAGCTCCTGGATTTGTTTGATTTTTTTTTTTTTTTGTGTGCGTCCGTGTGCGTTGTGACTCCTTTTTTCGGACTGTTTGTCTGAGAGTGAACAGCGACCTGTGTTTAAAGGGTCAGTCTGTGTAAGTAAACCGGCTGCTTTGGAGCATTATGACACCCTTGCTGAGAGGTTAAGTGATGTCTCGTCCCTCTACGATGCCCCATACATAGATTACTGTATGCCCTAGACATAAGCCTATTACACAGGAGTGTATATGTGTGTGTGTGTGTGTGTGTGTGTGGGGGGGGGGGTGTTAAACATATGGCAGAAGAGTCGAAAGGTCGTGTGTGCTGTCTGCATGTGATGCTGCCAGTTCATGTCCTCCTAGAGGCTTCCTGTCATGTTATTAAACGAATAACAGTTCGTTATTAAAAACTGTTCAGTAACAAAAACTGTCTTTGAGTCTGTCAGTAATGATATTGTTCAGTCCCTGTTCGTACCTCCACTTTTCTATGAAGTGGAACTGGTGGTATAATTTGAGAGCATTTATTTCTTTTATATTCAAAAAAGAAGATGTATCTAAGTAATGGATTAGAAGTCTTGTCTGGATTCACGTGAAACATAACGGATGAGTGTATATTTGTATTCCCACCTTACCGTCACTCCATCTTCATCCGTTCTGTACATGAGGTACAATAATCAGTCAATTAATTATTTTTTTAAGGCATTTTCTAAACAAATATACAACATATTTCTTAGTTACCTTCTAAAATGAGAGGACTTCCTACTGTCGACTGTAACTGTAAACTTGCTTAAATACCTTTTGGTTCTTCCTCTGTTATACAAACAAAGCTATTTCAAAATGTCAAATTGGTTTTTGGGAAATTGTATCTGTATTTTCTGACCCTTTAACCACCAAACAATGTATTCATTAATTGAGAAGATAATTGGCAGATTACTGCATAAGGGAATACAGTTTTGTCTTCAATGGATTTGGAAAGCAAATAAATCTGGTACATTTCTGACGATCAGATTAGTTATTTAGTAGATGGTCCCTGATTCATTAAAACATAAATATTCTATGTGCGTACAGACACTTGGGTATCGCTTCCATAAGTCCAGTTGTTTGTCATTGTTTGTACCAAACCCCAGCAGGACTGAGCTCACATTGGGGGCTTAGCTTATTTCAGAAAGCTTAAATAGGAATTATAGCTGCAGTGGGGCGATGCAACGACAGATTGACAAACTATGGGATACCATCTCGACAAACGCCTGCTTAACTTTACACAAAAACTTTCAGTTCTTTGATGTGTACCAGAGAGAGAAAGGATTACACAAGGGCAGGGGCGTGCTGGGGGGGGGGTTTAGTGTCCCGGGAGTTACTGTCAGGCTCAATACACGGCGCGCTGCCCTCGATGCATCGACCGTATCCACCAGGCTGTGGCCTACTTGAAAAATACACCCATATACTCAACATTATTCTGGATGATTACCAGTGGCGGCTGGCCAATAGGGGCCAAAGTGCCGTCGCCCCACCTTGAAGTGCCCCTCCACGAGCCCCCCCCAAAAAAATAAATAAAAAACTGTGCGACACACAATTTAGCCAGCGTCCTTAAATAGACTCCGCTTCGGGCCAAATTGCTTCTGTCACAAGCTTGTCAAGGTTTTTCCTGACTTCAATATCTCACTCTATATGTTCTATATAGATGGGTCGGACTGGTCCAATACCAGCTCACCTCGATCCCCAACCGGCCGTCCCTCTGACATCACCGGCACCAAAACATAAATCCTTTAAAGGTGGAACTGTGCTTCTCTGCAGCAGTTGATTTGTATTCTGCGATGAGCAGGTGGCTGTTGCTATTTTTGCATTTGCTTCGATAATCGATTATTTAAAAATCCCTGTCTGCGGCGTATAATTTATGTATGTGCAAGATAAACACATGCAGAGGAACACACGCGTTGCTCTTGTTGTCTCGTACGTGCTCACGTCCAAGAATAGAAATCCTCTGCAGTGTTTCTGGTGAAAACATCCAAACACTCACTCTGGTGCGTGTGCAGGGTAGTGTGACACTAACACATCAAAAACAGAATGGCATGAATAAAGTATTCCATAAAAATGTCAAACATTGTGTCACAGTGTTGTGTATCAAGAAATGCCACAGTGTGTGTGTGTGTGTGTGTGTGTGCAGGTGCATCTCGGGGTTGGTTCCAGCGCTCGAAGGTGTTGCAGATTCAGGCGTGCCTGCGGATGGTGATGGAGTGGGCGAGCAGGTCCGGTCTGGGACATCTGGCGGACAAATTCTTCACTAAACTCAACAGCGCTGTGTCCATACTGGCCACGCCCCCACAACAGCTCACACAGGTACCACAAACACGCACGCACGCACACACACACAGAGGCGCAGATTTCACCACTGATCTTATACAGGATTGTTAGCTGGCACTGACTGGCTGGCAAAATGAAACGGAACTTGCCATTAATATTCATCTACATGGAGGCAACCGGTTACTGGGAAGATGAGTCCAGTAAGCTTCTAATCCGAGGGAAGCTTTGATTAACGCTCATCGATTTTCCGACTGTTTTTAAACACAACACGAAAGAACCGTTGTTCATTAAGCAAGTGGCTTTGATCGGCTATTTATTGATGATGTCGTTGAAAAGGTTTCAGGAGGATCAACTTGTTACTGCCTCTTGTCCTTTTGCCTCCTGATTGCAGTGTTGTATTCAAATACAATTCATTTCTCCTCCTGTCTGTTGCTTCTCTTCTATTTCTGCTCCGTGTGCAGATGAGTTGGCGAGCTTTGTCCAGTGAGCATCCGGCTCTGAAGCCGGTCCAGCTGCACAGGATTCTCACTCAGTACCAGCTCACAGCAGAGATCGGCCCCGTCCCAACATGGCAACCCGGCAGCGAGGATGAAGCGTATATATACAGAACAGGTAAATGTGTGTATTCCTGAGTGCTGGGAATAGATTTTAACCAGGAAATAAATCTCGTGTGCGGCAGTTAAACCTTTCAAGCGTTTTTGAATGAGGAAGAGGAGGGAGATATATTTAAAAAATGCGGAACCTCTTATGAAAAATGCTACTATACGACATAAGTAAACAAAACGATCAGTGAGAAGGACATTTCTTTACAGTTATTCATGTATTTTATGTGTACACTCCTGTGAAAACATTCTAAATTAGATTTCTTAGAATATTTTCAAGGTGACGTGCAGCGATCCCGGATCAGGTATTTCATAATGTGTGTGTGTCTTCAGTGGACCTCCTGGAGAGCTTTGAGAACCACCCCCCCATAGTGCTGCCCAGCGCCGGCTTCAGAGTGGACCTGGACAGCGAGTGTGTGGAAGACAGCATCTACAGGCAGCTGCTGTACGTCCGCCACTATCTGTGGGGGCTGCGCACCAAGACGCAAACGCACACCAACACTGTGCACACACACTCCAATGGAACCAACACAGCTGACTGGCCCGACGTCCAGGTCCGAACACACATACACACACACACACACACACACACTGCGCACACCTAGCAGTAATCCAGGCCATGTGGCTGTTGAGGGGTTCCTCATAATCCCATAAATGAAAGACAAAAACCCTCCACTCCAGCCAACCCGCACACACACACACACACACACACACACACATACTCACTCACAGAAACCTAGACATGGTTAAATCATGGTTAATCTGATTAGTCTTTAGGCTGTCTAATTAGTGGAAACGGCTGACTAGACCATAATCCCCAGTATGACTCCACCCTCATATGTACACAAATGCATCCACACAGAGATGCATACATTCTAAAACATGACAAATGGTGAATTACTCCAATTGAAGATGACAAATGAGATGCATAACCTTTTTCGGGACCGCGACGTAGGAACAAAAGCCTTTTGTTCACTTCAAACAAGAAAACCTTTTCCATAAGTGAAAGATAAGATTGATTTCAGTTCTCTAATGTGTTGCACCCTCACGTCAGACTCCACACGCGACTCAGAGGGAGTTGCTGCCCGCGGCCCACAGCAGCCCCCGCGCTGCGGGTCCCGGGGACGAGGGGCCGGCAGAGGCGGGAGAGGACAGGGGACGGGACCGGCCCCCGGGCCAGTCGCACGCGCACAGCCTCCGAAGGAACGGCACCGTCCACCACAGTCGCACCGCCAATCCAGACCCGTCCTGCCTTCTGACCCCTCCCAAAGCCCCGCTGTACCCGGAGGGAGGAGGAGGAGGGAACATCATGGGCCCCAACACTCACACCAACGGCTACACCATCAGAACGGTGGCGGAGAGTAAGAAGAGCAACGGACTCCTCAGCAACGGACTGGAGGGTAGGCTGTGCGACGGGCAGAAATATCACAGCATCATGAGCAGTGCAGAGCAGTTCAAATCAAATAGTGAATTCTATCTTTAAAATGAGCACTGCGTAGTCAACAGTGGTACTTTGTGTTTTGTTTGGTTGGACTATAGTACAAAGTAGCATGTTCTATGGTGTCATTGTTATTTTTGCAGTAAACAATGTAGACAACGTCAGTCGTAAAATGAGTTTAACCGTGTTTCATGTTGATCCTTCACGTTATGACCAGCACGAGATGCGCACACTGTCAGGTGGTTGTTTTCCATCGTCCATAAATTGACACATGCAGCTTTTGAAGCACTACTTTAAGTCCTCACGTGAGGTCGGCGTCTCCCCTGTGCAGTGTTTGCTGTGCAGCGAGTGTGACATCTGCAGGCTGCAGGCAGGAGCACACGTTTGTGTGTCACATTAGCTCTGTGTCATACAGCATGTGTGTATGTGTGTCTCCTGCACAGAACTACCTGTTATGTTTTGTCCAACCCCATAGCGAGACCCTGTGTGTGTGTTTTTGTTTTTGTGTACGTGGGTGTCCGTGTCCTCTGCAGGGTGTATAAGTGGGTCTGAGTTTCCTTTCCCTGTGTCCTCCCTTGGCGCCTCTTCCCTTCCTGATGACTTGTGTGTGGTGTTTGTAGTGGAACTGGACAAAGGACCCTACGGACTGGGCATGGGACTCATCGACGGCCTGGTACGTAGATGGATGTTTGGAAACGGGTTTTACCTTTTTTAACTTGCGTGTTACTTAACGTGTTTTTGTCTTTGTTAAACATTTGGTTCAGTACGTTTGCTGCTACTATTAAACTTTAGGTTAAAAGGACAGACAAAATGTCAGTATGCCATTAAATATTTAAAAGTCATTTAAGAAGTGATTAGTACAGTATGAATAAAACAAAAATTTCCATAAAAAGGCATATCACTATTAATACTTTAAAATAAAATAAAAAAATCAGTTTGTTGAGTTATACTAATTTGAATTTTGTCATTATATAGTATACAGAGAAAAAGTAGATCACAGTGAAGTACGTTAGTATGTTATCGTCCGATAAATAAGGAAAACACACATTTTTATTTAAAGCAAAGGGTTACTCATTTGACCCAAAATAACAAATTAAAATTCTTGAGTACTGACAGAGGAAAATCACACCAAATGAATGACTTATAAAGCAGATTAGAAGTGGTGATGGCAAAGTCAGCCACATTCCAAGGATGTGGTGAGTCTTACAGACGGGAAACATCTGGCCAGCTGCCTCAACGGCATCCAACCGACCAGAAAGTCACAAACACACGAGCGATCCCCAGATAACGTGTCCCAAAATTAAGGGTTTATAGAATTGCATGTTGTAAAAAAGTCCCAAACAATTCATAGAACAGGAAGTCTGAAGACTAAAAGCATTAGGACGAAAATATATTTATTTTTAATTATTCCAAGAAAGGTCATAGCAAAGTATGTAAAATATTGTCAATTGACAGAAAATACCCCCATCCATCTATCAGGAGGTCCCGTAAACAATGAGACCCTTCTCCCCCCTGCAGCACACTCCTCTCAACGCTCCGGGCATCTACATCCGGACCCTCATCCCAGACGGGCCGGCGGCCTCCGACGGCAGACTGAGGATCGGAGATCGCATCCTGGCCGTGAACGGGACCAGTCTGATCGGAGCAGACTACCAGAGGTGCAGTCCCGACCCCATTGGTCGCCTTTGATTGATCGGTGCCGGTCTCTGCTGAGCTTCCCGTAACCGGACTCTTTTTTTTTTTTTTTTTTTCTCCCTGCAGCGCGGTGGACCTGATTCGCCTGGGAGGAGGCCGCCTCCGCTTCCTGGTGGCCAAGTCTGACCCCGACGTCTCGGAGAAGATCAGCGCCTCCTCCTGCTGATCGCCCTCCTGAGCCGTGAGAGGACAGACGTGTGCACGCGCAGATGACGCTCCGAACCGCTTCCCCTCCCGGCGAACCTGTAACCCATCACAAGGAATACGCTGCGAGGGCAAAGTGGCCTAATTAATCAGCGGTTGAGGCACGCCAGGTAATACGCCAGATAACACGCCAGTCTGATGTGGTTTTCAAAGCACAGCCGAGTTTCTCTTCAGTCCGCGATCAGAGCTTGTGACCACATCACTTTTTTTTTTTTTTTTCACCTGTATTTTTAGAAACTCAGTCATTAAGTAGCGTGGTAAAATAGCTACCCAGCTCTCTAACGGAAGGACTCTGAAACGCTTCTTTATGATTCCAAGAGACTTTGCAGAGGAACAAGAGGACGCCCTCGGTGAACCTGGAGGCTTTTACACAGCGCTTTAAGTGCGTTGGAGGTTTTATATTTCGGTTTGTTGGCCACTCAAAGTCTGCTCAACAGACCCTTGTGTCCAAATGTTGCCTTTAGTCGTTTTGTACTGGAGTGTGGGTCACCGAGGGAGGCGACTCGAGACCCGCAGACCTCTCTGCTCTCCCATTTCCCTTTTAACTTAACCGCTGGACTTTATACCGCAGCTGGGAAAAGAGCAGCTGTGGGGATGTGCAGATGTTGTGGGACATTCTTTATTATATATGACTGGATCATCGGGGAAACGCGCTTCACTTTCTAATGCACAACCCCTGTTTAAACAAAGCTCACTTTTGTTGTGAATATATGCTTTATGTATCTGGTTACGGGGAGTGAAATAGTGTGTAAATATGTAACACTTGGTCACACACTGTTTGAGCAGTCAGAAGAGAAACTAATCAATCATGGTCAATATACTGGTCACTAAAACCTACGGATGGAAAGGATTCTTTTTCTAAAAGTTATAAATGTATTAAAGTACTATGAACAGGAATTAAAGCTGCACTTTTTGGGGGGGCGACGACACCCAATTTACAAAAAACTTTTGTACTGCTTTGAGCTGTGCACAATGCAGGTAAGAGAACCAACATGTTTTCATGTCATTCGGCTTTTTAAGAGTTCCAGATCGCCTTTTATTTTTATAAAGTCCAAAACTTTGGTCACTGCAGAAGGAAAGCCACGATGAGTCGGTTCTGTGCCACGCGGCGTCCTGATGTGACCACCGTTCCGGGAGCAGTAACCCGCTGCAGAACCAGACGTTTTGTTTGCTCTCATGTACAAGCAACTGCCCCCAACTTACTACAAATCTTCCTTCCAGTTGATCAAAATAATCTGTCCAAATCCAAAAGATTTCTTTTAAAAGTATCAAACCCAAACAACATATGAGAAAGTTAAACCAGCACCAAAGCTGACGGCTTCATTTCTATTTGTCAGCCTGAACATCGTTTCTCGCCGCCTCAGCTTTGTTTTACTTTACTTTTTTGCAGTAACAGTTTGAGTTCTCAAATTTGTATTACAATGATCTTGTGCATGTCCATTATTTATACTGTTGTGACAATGATGGTACCCAGAATAAAGCTGGTTGGATACCTGCATGTGTCTGCTTATAAACCCAATGTCACGAGTCCCACAGATAAGAGAAGACGGAATCCGTAAGTCAATGAGGAATTTTAATTTGTGCTACACATTTGAACAAATCACAGAAACATTTAAAAATACATATACTTCTCTATTTCCAGAATGTATTGACGACAGCTGTTTTTACATATAGTAAAATATTTCTCTTCTCTAAAAATCAGAAAAAATATCCTAAATAGCTTTGTCATTTAGCAGATAGAGCAGCATACAATCGTTACGCATCTTTTTGTTTTTATTTTTCTAATGTGCAACAACAATCACTGAAATCTTTCGCAAATTGAGCCTGATAACGAGCTGAAAACGAGGCCTGAGCGAGGACAGAAGAACGTCTATCGGGGGCAGAGTCGCTAAAAGCTCGACGCCTCTGCAGAGACGGCTCACTGAGGAGAGGTAGATCGGGAGAAAAGGTATTTAAGGGAGAGCGAAAGCAAAAGAGTCCGGTAGAAAAAGTGTCAGAAGTACCGCACGGAAAGAAATCGAGACGAGAGCTGTCGACATCTGCGGCCGTGTGTTGGTCCCTCCCCCCCCCCCCGATTAAACTGAGGCAACATAACCGTCCCCGTTGTAGTGTTGCCCGTCATGTTCTGTTAAAGCGCTGTGTTAACTTAAAAGGTTAAGAAAAAAAAAAAGTAGAAATCTTTAAGGCTTTAAGGATTATTACAATAATGCTTTTCTTTGCTAACACAAAGACACCGTACGCACAGGCTGTTCTCCTTTTACCACTACTGAAACAAAAACTAAATTAAAACAATCAGTTTGTCTATATTAGATTAGATCCACTTCAATCAACTCAAGATGCCTTTTTTAATTTAATTTTTACCCCTCTGCTGTCCAACCACTCAGATCCTTTTGAATCTGAGCAGCTTCATCCTGATAAACCAAACTGAGCTGAATTAATGAAACGTACAAAGTACTTATTTCTTATTCCTGGATGTCCTCCCATTTGTGCTTTGCAGAGAAGGCAAGAATGCTAGACGCCTCACATTCAGGGTCTTAATATTAATATCTTTCCTTTTTTTAAATCTTTTTTTAAGTGAGACCTTTTGAGTAAAAGTTGCCTCATGAAGAGTACAATCATATTCTTTACAGTCTCCCGCGCCTCTACAGTGGTCTGGGTATACGCAGCGCAGTCCTATCTCAAGTTACACAATAACTACTCCGATCGTCTATAAATGCCGGCCATTTCAAATCTCTGAACACACGTTCCCTGTTTTTACAGTCAGGCAATGACTCAGGAGTCCTTTGGCCTAAGTGACGGTAACCGATGCATCTCATGTATCCAAGATATCCAATATTCACATAGTAACGGTAGTGCTGAAATGATTGTAATATGCTTATAAGCTTAATATCCTTACTTGTGTTGTCAGTGAGTAATGGATTACATTAAAAAGACTGTAAAGCTGAAAAAGTCCTGAAAGTTTGTATTTATTTTTGACCAAAAGAAATGTGTTCCTTACAAATTAACGAATTAATCGAGGCTGCCTGTACATCGTTTTGGCCATGGCGGCCGCAGTCATATCAAATAGTATAAAAGGCGAAGCAGTTAGGGGCCCAGGAGGATGCTGTCCGTTGGGTACCTGGTTAGAGGCCCCTGGGTCTCACTTCCGAGGGTCGTGGGTTTGTGATGTCATGGCAACGATGACAGGCTGCTGAGCAGGCGTGACCTGATGCTGAACGGAGGCAGTCCCGCTCTCGTCCTCCATCTTCGGCCGCTTGGTCAGGGGCTCCGCTAAAGTTTCTGCACTGGGCGGTCTGCTCACCAGCACTGGAGGGGAGCTGGAAGCCTGCGCAGCCAAGATCTGCAGCGGGCTACTGAGGCCTGGGGAGGGAATGCGAGAGAATAAGTCCCTGAATGACCGGATTTTCATGACACCATTTCTTTATGGCATTAACACATTTGGTATATTATTTAGTTTGTATATAGACCATGCTGTAATGCTATGACTTTTGTGTTTTAATTGTATATTTATGGCCTACTATACAAGGCCTATTTATTATTATTCCTAGGACTTTTTAGACATGCAATACTGTTCATTTTCACACATTTATGTCAGACTATATTGTCTTTTTTGACATCCTACTATGACGTTTAATGACTTTTTTCAACTTCAATGTTTACTAACAATTTTGGGACTTTTCTGAAACTATACAAACTTTTTTGTCCTCTATGATACTATGGTTTCGTATGACATATATAACTATATTATGCGTTTAATAAACTGACTTTTGATGACATACGTCTAACATACTATATATGACTTTTTAATACCCCTCTGTTCAATAAAAAATATCTGTCTGTATTCAATGCGTGAGGCTGAGAAATCTTACCAGAAGCGTTTGCCAGACTGGTTGCTGTGGCAACAGCAGAGGTTTGTTTGCCATTCTGAGTAACAGTGCGAACAGGAAGTTGATGTAAACCGTGGGCCGTGTTTCGCCCGTCACCGCCGTGCAGCGCGCTGTCCACCGTCTGGATCACTCGCTCTCGGGTCAGCTGGGCGTCTGATGGGAACACAAACAAACAATAAAAACACGAAACATCCGGACGTTGAAGTGTGTACCATCTGCGCGGTGAGCTGTAAGCCGAGTACACGCGGTTCAGAAAGTTATTTTTAAAGATCACAACTTGGAGTACGGCTCGTAGTCATAAAGCAGACACTTGACCTGGTTTGGATTCAGGTCACTGCTGAAGTCGGTATACAGTCATACAATATATTCAAAAGGGTTGTTACGGTCCCAAGCATCAGCAGACCCAAACGTGACCGTTAGCATTTAAAATATCGATGTCCGAGTCAGCAACATTTATTGTCCATACAGCACAATAAAACGTTATGATTCAAACTACACACACTCTACATTAGCGACTGGGGACATGAACCTGGACACAAAGGGAATGAGACAGTGAGGCGCCGGTCAAAAGTTCACCGGTAAAGAGGAACAGAATTATTCTGTGCGCCAACTTTAAGAACGGCAGTCGATTCACAAACGGAGACGAGTTGTTGTTAGAAGGTATTTGGGCATGCTCCATCATGCTAGTAACATCCAAACCAAGTAAATGTATCCCTATGCAATAGAATTAGTGACACGTGGTCCGGTCCACACTGATCTATAGTTCAATCTGAATATGGACCTCGATCCGGACCTCAGGAAGCCCGGCTTGAAACTATTATCAATAGTTATAATTAGGACTGTCAATAGATTTTTTTAAAATGAACTAATTAATTGATTAGTAATCATTAGTGTTTTTCTTCTAAATTACACATGTTGAACCAGCGACTCCTCTGCTGTGCTTGTGCAGTTTGCTGTGCTCTCAACTCTCCATCCTCCAATGCAAAACGCTCTCTCCCTCTTCAGCTACCGTCTCCGTCTCTCCGATATAACGTTTACTGACTGCAGGCGGTGTGTGTCTGGGGTCAACGCACACCCGAAGAAAACAAAGTTGCGTTTACTGCGTTAAAATATTTGAGCGCATTAATCTCGGCCACAATACTCTCAATGATTAAGGCGTTGACTTTGACAGCCCTAGTTATAATACACATATTATATATTAATTATAAACTGACAAACATCCGGTCAGGTAGTTTGTTATTGTTCCCCCCAGAGCTCATTCATGCATTTCACACACACGCACACACAGACACACAAAGATCCTAAACCTTTGAAAAGTTGACATTGAATGCTTGTGAAATGTCTTCACAATGCTGCAGAAAATGACAAAAAAACACAACCCCACAACAGCTATAAAAGATCAACGAATTGAATCATCATCGGGTGGTAATGTATCACATAATACATGCACTTCGAGCACTTCTCAAAGAGACTCCCGCCGCTGTACCTCTGAGCTCAGTGTGGCCCTCGGTTCCTCCAGCAGGGGGGGCGCTGTAGCCATTGGGGGCGTTGGAAGCCGGAGGGCCGCTGGTCACCAGCCGCACCATGGTGATGGAGGACTGAGTTGGGTTCTGGAGCATGTGGATGGGCTGGACTTGGCCGCCGCCTGGAAGGAAAGCGAGGGCTTTGCCTTGCCCTGAGGGCAGCGCCGCTGGGTGCGCGGGCGCTGCCATGATGACGTGCTGAGCGCTGACCGGAGAGCCTACGCAGACACACGCACACACACTGACGTTTCACCTGCTGCATAGACGACCTGGAAGCACTCACATGCATGTGGGTGTTTTTGCGAAAGCCTACCTGGGGCACTCTGAGAGTACCTGTACTCCGGTACGGACGCCAGTTTGTTAACCAGCTGTTCGTGGTGGTCGTGGGAGATGGGAGAGCCCTCCCTGCTCAGACATTCAGGAGTCTGCAGCCCGCTTGATGGAGGAGAGAGAAGTCCCTGGTGGGTCGGGGACGCCGGAGCACTCCTGAAAGAAAAAAAGAAAACAAAGGAATGGAGGAAGAGGGACCGAAGCAAAAGGACAAAGACCAAAGAAAGCTATTAATCCACAAAGAGACGTCTAAGAACATTACAAAGCTCCCTGACTGCCAGGACCTTCTGCCCAATTAGCCTAGAAATTAGACTTACTTTGTTCTATCCAATCAAATGAGCCAGGAGCAGAAGCAGCGAGAAGAGAGAAAGGGTTAAAGGTCAAACCAGCATGTGTCTGAGTGGGTGTAACAGACGTCTGTGTGTGTGCGTGTCAGTGTGTGCGTGTGTGTTTGCATGCGGATCAACTTACCTCGAAGAGAGCGGTCCGAACGGCGTCCTGAAGCAGGCCACGCCCCTCTGCCGTCTTTTCCTGAAGGCCTGCTCCACCAACTTGCTCTCAGAAGCGGAATCCACCCGCCAGAAGCTCCCCTTGCCGGGCTCGTCCTGGGAACGGGCCACTTTCAGAAAGTAGCGGTTGAGAGACAGGTTGTGCCTTATCGAGTTCTACGGAGAAAACGAATAGTGTTGTCGCCGTCACAAAGAAATATTATCTAATATTTATTTCATAAAGAAGCATGACATTGTTTAAGGCTTCTTGCTTCTTCACAGTACATTTTGTGCCGAGTCCTCTCTCTTTACACGGGATAATCTAACAGTGCGCACAAACGCACGCTGGCTCGCAGCCTCAAACAGGACTAATGTTTAAGGACACGGTTTATTTCTTTCGTTCTAAAAATCTGCTGTTGCTACACAGCTGCTTTCAGATTCGTTATCACCCCGCGACGTGCTGCGGCGAGGTTTCGATCGCTTGACACACACCTGCCAGCCCTTGTCCGCGGTGCGATAGTAGGGGTAGTGTTTGGTGATGTGCGCGTAGATGCCGCTGAGGGTCAGCTGTTTGTCCGGGGCAGAAGAGATGGCCTGGACGATGAGCTGCGCGTAGGAATAAGGTGGCTTGGACTCGTCCTAGACGAACAAGGCACAAGTGTCAACACCCACACAGCGGGAAACGAGTATTTTCAGCGATGAACGCGGTTGACTTATTAGGACGTTTCTGGGTCGTCACCTTGGGGCTGTCTCCCCCAGCCGACTCCCCCCGCTGCTCGCTCCCTCCGCCCCTCTGCTCGACAACGCTCCGCCTCTGCTCAGAAACCGCCTTGGCGGCATATTCAGCTGCTAACTGGAGGTCAGAGGTCACGTTGCGTCCATAGCGATACCCCGATGAGCCTGCCCCCCGCGGACTGGCCGGACAGGAGTTAGGAACACTGGAGAAGAGAGGGAAGAGTCCGTCAACAGGGTCCTACTGGGGACAGACCTTTAGATGAAAGACTATGAACAGAAATACGCTGAAAGAGGAAAACTTAATGAGATTATGTGACGAGTCTAAATGAGGTTCCTTTGATTCCATCAAGATGTGTATTAGACCAATACTGCAATATTTCAAATTAAAAGAAAGAAAACATTGTGCTTATATCGGTATTCACTATTTTACAGGAGTTTAAACATAAATAGGCACAAGTACAAATAAACTGTTTTGATTTGACGGATAGAAATGCTTATTGTGAATATTAATCCGTTCAGGTGGTTGTGACGAATTTAACAGACAAACACAAGAGGTACATTTGGAAAAATCATTACCGCTCATATCCGGTGCGTTCTTAACACACAACAAAACAGACCTCGATGAACAAAATACTGCATGGTGTTAATCATCAACGAGGTTTTATCTGGTGCAGTTAAGACAAAACACAAGGAAAACCCGGTAACGTATACAACACACACCTGCTTCTGTTAGTAAGGTAAACACGGCTTTCTGGGAGGGTCAATGTGCTTTGATTTGAGAGATAGTAAAACACACACACACACACACACACACGGAGAGAGAGAATGTTTGTATTTTTTGGCTGGGGAAACTAGGCTGCAGGCTGTGTTCTGTAAGTCGCTTTGTAAGCTCAGCTTTTTAAAAATGAATGAAGGCGAAGAAACTTCTAATGTTGCTCAGACGTCTTAAGCAATAAAATAAGGGCGGAATGGTTTTTTTCCCCTTTTCTAGTCCATAGAAATGATGTGCAGCAACACAATAGCTCCCGTAAAATGTTATTTTGACAAACATTTTGCCGCGAACCAAAAATGTGCCTGCGGCGTTTGAAGCCCACATTGAAACAGTTGATCCGGCGTGGATCCCAACGTGATTATGCCTGTAAACGTACAGCCTTAAGTCACGTGCGCCTCCATGAGGGAGAAATGGTCGGCCTGCGCTTTCCTCTGACGCTTCTAAAAACAGCGTTTCTTCCCCCTCTGCATGTGTTCAGGGACCAGAAGTACACGTGTGAATGCTGGTAGAAGAATGTTATTGTACACAGCTCATTTCCATTGCCAAACAGGAAAAGTGACTCTTACCACCAACGGTGTGTAAGCGCAGGCACACTTTTTTTTTTTTTTACACACAATACTCGTCTTGCGTACTGTACAAGGAAGGGATCACAACAACCGGCCCGAAAAAGGCCAGAGCGAAAGTGTCGGAGAGACGCCAGAGCGAGCGTCTTTGCTCCGTGTGAGTCGGTCCACGTGTGAGGGAACAGGAGCCAAAGGCTGAGGCGGTGGGCTCGGAGAGGGAAGCCGCCAACGGACAGGAAAACGGCCTACGGGCAAAACAATCTGCCCGACAGCCAATCACACGCCTCGAAGCTGCAGCCATTCCATATAAGGCAGGCGCACACACACACACACACACACACAAGATGACATCAGTGGAGGAGGGGGGAGTGTGATGCAGTAACCACCAAAGCCCAGCAGAGGGCGATAGCAGCAGAACGTGCTGTGTGCATTTATAGAGCCGTGATTATCAGGGCTCACTCAGAGAGCAGGTTTCCACTGCGGCAGTCAACCAGAGGACTGACTGCAAAGGAGATTATGAGTGAAAATGAGCTGATGTTGTGTGTGATTGGTACAAATAATATATATATATATGTATATATATATATATATATATATATATATAGCAGGTCTTTGTAGGTGGAGAAATAACCAAAGGAAACAAAGCCTCATGTGTTAAAACATGTACATTAAGAAAGTAAACCGCTCTGACCTGAAACTCTTAGTGTATAAACTGTCATACCGCAAAGACGACACAGTTGAGTTTAATAATGCTGGAATATATAATATGTACACAAATGGCATATGCCGATGTTTGTTAATAGCAGGATCCTAAGCAGGACGGGTTTGTCTGTATTTTTGCTGCAACAAATGATTATTTTTACTACGGCATAATCTGTTCTGAGTTGTTTTGTATTTTAATCGCATGCTGATTTCCTAACTCCCGGGATGATGTCATCATTTGTGAAACCAACTGTCATACAATGAAAAGAAAATCATCAAAATGAGGAAGCAGGTACAGTGGAGTGTTTGGATTTTTATACTAAGCTACAATTGATCATTCATTTAAATGATGACTAATCAAATTATTGACTTATTGTAAACTAATATTTATTTAAACTTAACTGGAGACTCAATCAAAACACACGTTATAGCTCTGCAGGCTTTGCACGCCGCTTAAACAGTCACAACAATTCACTGAAAAGGGATTCACAAGAAAGTGTCAAATACACACCGACTCCTCTTTCCAAATCTCATTTATATTTATGAAGTGTGTCCGACAGATGATATGCTTTGTTCGCATGTATCGAGGTAACCCGGTGTGACAGCGTGGGTCAGTGCGTCTCTCCTTACCTGAGGGTGCCCGTGGGCGAGGGCAGCGGCGATCCAAACGCCCTGATGTGCTCTTCGTGCTGCTGCATTGTGGGAATGCTGATTTTGAGGGGGGAAATGTGGGGCAGAAGCGGGCGAGGCGGGAGCGAGGCCATCTCCTTCTCTCGGTGCTCCTCCAGCAGCAGGAGGGACATGAACTGGATCTTGATTACCGTACTGGGAAAACGAAACACACACCTGGCAGAGCAGGAAGGCAGAAAACAGAAGAAAGGACAGAAACAACGTCGGATTAGTGCATTCTCTCCTATACAACGCTGGACAGCTAACTCTTCAATTTGTTCTAATCTGAAAGGGACGGTTCTGCAGCGCTCAATCCGATCACATGGTTTTCCTCGGCAGACGGGAGTTTTCCCAGTTGGCAAAATGTGTTTAGATTTCTACTTTAAAGATTTACTGTCTTAAGACTCAATGTGCTCAGCATTTACAGTACAATGACAATTGTTGTTTCCACAGTCAAGTATGGAAATACATTGTTATTGTGTTTGAATTCTACATAGTGGATAACTAATCTGCTATACGTCACATAAAGCTTGCGTTCCCCTTGTTTATTATATAAACAATGTTTCCAGGAAACACCTTTTGTGGACAAAGAACTAGTCTGGTGTGGACTTAACGCGACATCCGGTAACCAGCATTTTATCTTCTTTAAACAGGTCTGGACAACTGCCTTAATATAAGCAGGGATCACTCAGGCACAAGTTAGTTCAAGCCTAGACTAAAAGATGAGTCATTTTTTGAAGAACCGAACAGTAAAAACATAAGGGAGTAGTTTTATTGTTTTCAAGTAGGTTCAGGCAGCAATGTTCCATATTCACTGAAACTAAGTATGTATGACTGCGACCATCACATCTGCCCAGATATCACAATTTGTGCATTTTAGCAGTAAACTGAGTCCCTACTTATTCTGGAGGAGAAGAAGCGCTCAGGCTGAGGTCCCGCCGCAAAGAGACAAAAAAACACAAGACCACCGAGGATTTGTGAGCAGTTCCATACAGCTAAAGCAGTGAGAGATCCACCACTTCTCTGTCTTCTGTCTTCTGAGGGACTGCAGCTGCTGACCCATGAACATTTTGCTCACAGCTGTCTCAGCCCGGAAGGGGTTGGGGGGGCAAAGAGAAAAGCCACTGTTTAAAGAACTCACATGGCATTTTGAATAGCGATTGTGTAAAAGGAGGTCTTTATGGAATCGAGTGCAACTCCGTGATTGAGCGACTGTATCCACACGGCTTTCAACAAGAGGGGGGGCCGGGGGGGTTAAACTTATTGCTATAATACGCCTAATATAAGCACAACTGCGTGAGCTCAGAGCAGAGCGGTGGCCGTGGCTAGCTAGCGTCGGAGACGTAAACAAAGATTCAAAGTCACCGACATGCACTAGAGCAGCGACATACACAAAGGACACAGACACACACACACACACACACAGAGGGAATGAGACTCCCTTCTCTGCTCAGGGCACCATTACGCCACTATATATTTACACACACACGGCAGTTTGCTGTCTAATGCTTTATTAATATTGTAAATCTAATTAAGGGGAGCACAATTAAGCTTCTTTGCAATCATACCCAAAGAATATAGACAACTGTTTGAATGCCTCACTATTACAAGCTTAAAGGGTAAGGGAGTTATTAAAATGCAAGAAAGTGCCATAAAGAAAGAAAATCAGCTCTAGCCTGAAGGAGTACTATGACAGTAACTTCTAAGAATAGGGAAAAACCTACACGTGAATAACAACAACAACGTTGATGTCCTGGAGCAGCCAATTTAGACATCAGCCCAATCTGAAATGAATTTAGCCTTCTAACTAAAAATACAAATGCATTGCCCCATTCTACATTTTGAGAGGGCTCTTAGATCAACACAGTCGTGCAGCTAGCTTTGTTCTCCTGAGACGGGCCCACAACCACAGCAGCACATGTGAACAGGCTGTGGTGGATATGGCCTTGAGGCTTGTGTTTACTCCATGTGCTCCTGCAGCGAGGATGTCATTAGCACTTCCTGTCCAACGATAGACCCACCCCCAAACAGTCCTGACAGCCAATCAGAAGACCCCCTTCCGTGATCGATTGACACACACACACACACACACACACACACACACACACACACACACACACACACACACACACACACAGTCAAAGCTTTCTGTTTGAGATTGGCACCGAATTAAACGGCCCAGTATGCAGCCTTCAAAAACAGTAAAAGGAAAGCCAAAATCAAAAGACCGGATGCTTCTTGAGAAAAAAAAAGCACAGAACCCGTTTTAAAGATTCATTACACAACAAAAACACAATGGTCTGGGAGGGAGGTGTCAGGGGTGGGTTTGTTTACATAAAGGTTAACGTGACGGCGACAGGTCGGCTAGCGGCTTCCCGACTAGCCGACAACCTCAAACTGTTGGACGGGATTTATTCCCAACTACTTACGCGTGGAACAAAATGTTCGAATATATTTTTGCAAATCCGGGCCAACACAGTATGACAACACAACAATGTGCAACACATCCTAGGAACCTTATCTTATAACGTTTGTTAACTCGCTTTTTCTTACCGGTAGACCGAATTAAGCTACGTGTGCTAACGGCTAACTGGGTCGATCCGCTGATTCACAAAGTGGGGTAAAGTTTCCCGGAGGCGGGGGGGGGGGTTCCCCGGACAGATATAAATAATAATAATAATAATAATGTAACAGCTCATGTGTACACATGGCATGCCAACAGCTTGCTCGACCAAACCGGGCTTAAAGTGCAAATAAACCGAAGCAAATCAAACTGCTCTCATTAGCGGTGTCATGACAAACTTTGTATCCCCGACAGGATGAGTCGCCCGTCGGCCAGTTAATGTGGAGAACGTAACATATTCGGAAAACTACTGGGGCTACATTTGGCACAACTATTAACAAGTCTTCCGTTTTGTGTTCAAAACGCCCGCATTTTAAATATAAATATATATATATATAATTGTACTCCACTAAAAGTCCACCAACGGAGGAGGTGAGGGGGCTTAAAAGGGGGATACGATATATGTCATAACACCGGCTCCGAGGCCGTTTGTCCAGCAGTAGGTGGACGCTTAATTTTGAACATTAAAGTTCGGGTAGTCCTGCAACGGCCGCGCACCGTGTTGCCATCATTAGCCCTTAGTAGCAGCTATGCTAACGGACCGCACTCACTCTCTGGGTAGCGACAGCGGGGGCGCCCCTCTCCGCTGGAACACCCCGTCAACGAACACGCCGTTCTTGCCCAAGCACCGGAGGGAGAACCCGTTCGCCTCGTCGTAGGTGATCTGCAGGTGTCGCCTGGAAATGAAGCTCGAGTGACCCATGTTGATGTCCACGGAGCCGTGAGACGAGTTCCGGCCTACGGTGACCGTCCTCTGGCGCATCACAAACTCGAAGTCCCGGCCCTCGAGTCTGGCCAGGGCCTGCGGAGCAGGACAGGCGAGGCGCACGGGGAAAAGTCCGGCGTCGCCGCGGGCTTCCATCATCGGAGGGCCGAGGAGGGCGAGCGAGGACTGGAGGTACGAGTGCGAGGTCACCGCGACGCGCACGGGACTGCATGGTGCCGACTGTAAAGCGAGCAGGGCTCGGGCTCCGGTGTCTTCCCGGTAGTCTGCCATCTTCTTTCGGAGGGTCAACACGCGCGCGCGCGCACACACATGTATATACACGCGCACAAACACTTTACTTCTTGCACACACAAAGTTGCAACGCGAGAGTTTTCGGCCGGGGCACTTGTTCGCTCCGTGGCTGTCGGAACAACATGGAGTCCTGGTCGGTGCAAGAACGGGACTGGAGTCCGCGCGGGAACGGGACTGGTGCTGCGTTCAGGACCGCCGCGTAGACTTGGCAATCAAACGACACCCACGTTAGTTATCAGAAATAATTTCCCAGCTGTTCCATTTAATTCCGTTTCTTTTGTACAGCAAAAAATCAAAATCATATTGAAAATTTTCCTCAGAGGAATGCAACATAAAAAGCTCTACCATATAGTATATTTGGGACGAAATAATGTTTGCATAGCGTATGTTAAACACTGAAACGTTTTAAATCACAGGCAAAAACAACAACAACAATATTTGAAAGCACAATAAAGATGAAGATACACAAACTGCAGCTGCGCGGAATTACAAACACTCTTTTTAAAAAAGTGAATGGATGAGGGCGGAGGGTTCTGTTTCCTGAACACCACATCTGGGCACCTCCGCTGATTGGCTGCAGTTATTGTCGTCACACCAGGGAACTGCAGGTCGAGCACAGTAGAACATCGCGTAGATAAAACCACCGTGGTAGCATTCTAAATTACATGTTTCTACTTTCGTGTCTTTCCTGGATGACGGATGTGAGAAAATCTGCAAATGCAAATGGTTCCGCGATAGTATATAACAACATGAGTAAATCTCACACGCTATAAAAAGAAAGAGAAAACATACCATGCAGGATTACATTTTTGATGTTGTTATTAAATATTCCCTGCTTTTATTGCGTGACCAAAATTGTGTATTTGTATGTTTTCCTTTTTGATATTTGATGGTTTTAATGTAAAGTGTCTGATTATTATGAAAAGTGCCATACAAATAAAATGTGGTATTTATTATTATTATGATTGATATTAATATAATATTATCTTAAAGTTGGGTGACTGACCAAAATACAAATTAGTGCATTTATTGGATAACGCGGATAAACCTGTGAAATGCTCCTCAATCCCCAAGAAAATGTGGTGTCGTCACTGTAGTTGGTTCGTCCACCTCAGATTTAGTCTTTTTTTTTTATCTCTAGCCTCTGTTTATAAACATGGAAAGAACAAGATGGTTGAAAAACACGGAAGATGGATCTATAAACTGGCAGGAACGCATGAATGAACACAGAGCTTCCACACGAGCGCGCTGTTGTGATATAAAACGTATAAAAAGAGAGACGGGCTCAGACTGTATTAATAACATAATCACAGTGGGCCGTTCAATGTACACTGTTAAAAATAAAATATACATATATATATATATAAAACAATAACTCACTTTTTTAAATGCATCAGTTCTATATTTTATTATGGGTGGAAAGTAACATGCAACAAAGTGCAAAATATATTGATTGCTAAACGTTGCACGAGAAGAACCACATTATGATTCTTTGTAGCCCCGGTTAGGTGCATGTCGCTGTTCCATGGATCAAATCGCATATAAAAATGACAATACTCATTAGAAAACCCCAAACACGGGCTTGAGAAAAATATCCCATTGTTGCACGTTAGGAAAAGCTTTAATGAACCAAAGACGACGAACTGATACAGATTTACATACAGCTGTACACGTGGTGATACAGATGGAGATGTTTAAAATCACGTATGTGTTTCTTTTTGTTTAGTTTTAGGATTCAACGTGGCACCAGTTTAAGTTTTATTGGTCGTTTTGGCATCAGAAGGCCCTGGACGTCCATCTCCAAGGGGATCTGGTAGGAAAGTACATGTGAAGAGAAATAAATGTGAACAGAGTCAACAATGGATGAAAGATACAAACAGCTGGCAGTCTCGTAAAGAATCAAAAAAGGCTTCTGATCTTTGAACAGACAGACCTTTGCAGCACTCACGATTGTCTATCTTTGGTATTATATAACCCTCATTATCCCAATCAATCTAGCAAAAGCACCATAAAAGATGATTATTCATTCACTCTAAAAGTAATATAAATACAATCAGTGTGGTCTCACCTCAGTCTCCTTACACACAGAGAAGCTGAACCTCTGCAGGATCTCAACCATTGCTAGTTTCATCATCACCAGAGCAAATCGCATCCCAATGCAGTTCCTGGGTCCTGCCCCGAAAGGCATGTACGTGTAGGGGTCAATAGAGTCCTTGTTTTCCTTGCTAAACCTGAAGATACACACACAACAAGGTTTACATGACAGAAATGTGGCAACTGTCTGCAGAGCTCAGGGCCTTTGTGAATAAACGTACAAATCCCTTCTATACCTCTCAGGTTTAAACGCCTCGGGCTCGGGCCACAGACTCGGATCCCGGTGCAGCGGCCATGTGGGAACCATGACAACCATGTCTTTTGGAATCACAATGCCATTTATCTCCACAGTTGCCTTGGCCACACGCTCCAGACGTGGGGCAATGGGGTACAACCGGAGAGACTCGTTGATGACGCTGTCCAGATACTCCATCTGCATCAGAGCCTGGTACTCAACAGGACCCTACTCAAGACACAGAGACAGGACAGGACGTCACTCTGTTATGTTGGGCCAGGTTAGGAGCTACAAGAATCTAGGAGGGAAAACAGTTGATTGAGTTACTGAAGTTTAAAGTCTACTGACAAGACTAACACAGGTTAGAGTCAACAAAAAGTTAGCTTAACATACTGAGAGTCAGCGAAGAGTTAGCTCAGTTTACTGGCCGGTAAAGAGTCTCTAACGGTATACCGGTACAAGATCCCCTTATGGTACTCGTATTATTATACCAGTGTCAAGCCACAAGCAGCAAGTTTTATTTTTACCCCAAGTAACTAAACCAGTTTCGGTCGGAGCTACTTAACAATGCGTGTATTGAGATTGAGTCATGGTTATAACTTTATAACAACAATGAATAATCCACAACAGACGCTCTTTAACATCGTAAAACACCACTACACAACAGCTTGTGAAACATAAACAATTTCTAACAGTAATATTTGTGCATTTCTAAAATTACCCCGCTAAACTGCATGCTGGGTACATCTAGACCCGCTATCACTTGTTACAGGGAAAATCAGAGATGAACCAACACAACTTGTGCCCAAAAGATGAGCCGTGTGTGTTCTGGAGGGTTTTTGGTTTTTAAAAAGCTCACTTAAATTAACGTTTGATCAGAAATGATTAATTGCAAAGTTGGTCGAGGCACTGGTGTTGCCTCTGGTGGCAAGACTAGCAGCAAAATCAGCGAACATGCTAATGAGCTAACCCGCTAACGAGCCGGGCAGGTGCAAGTGCCAAGCGGTGAACAGCTGCTCAGGTGGCCAGCAGTTCGTTTCCAGGCCAATGAATGAATGTGTTTACTTTAAAAGACAGCGGTTCACGACTCGTTTGTAACCGCTAGCTGGCCAGTTGCTAGCAAGCAGCTAACAACGGAAAACAGCGGTGAACTGCAGTTCAGTTTGACGAAGTCACATGCATGAATGGATGTGTTTACTGTGGGGAACAGCTACTAAGACCAGGTCATAAAAGACGCCCTGATAGCAGCGTGATCACGGTGCATCATCATAAAGGCGCAGACTCCCAGAGCTTTATACTCCTGGGTCAACTTCCGCCTGGCTGGATCGTTTGCTGCATGTCATTCCCAAACTCTAACAGTGTCCTCTTCCCACGCCAAACGCACCTTGTTCGGGAACGTGGAGTCGACCTCCTCTTGCAGCCGTTTCATGATGTGAGGGTTTCTGGCCAGATTGTAAGCCAAGAAAGAAAGAGAGCTGCTGCTTGTTTCGTAGCCAGCAAAGAGGAAAATCATTGCCTGAGAAAGGATTTCGTGATCACTTAAACCTGTGGAGGTAGCAAGGAGATAGATTTAGAATAGCTTTTAGTCTTTCTGTATGTGTGTGTACATGGCTGTGTGCGTTTGTCACCTTTATTTGATTCCTCTTTACTGAGGTCAATGTTTTTCTGGGAGTCAATCATTAACTGGAGGAAGTCCACTCGACTCTAAGAGTGGACACATATGAGGAGGACTGATTGTACTTCTGAATGTGCTGATGCAAAGAGATGTGGATGCACACGCACGGGCAGTCTCACCTTTTGCTCGCTGTGCACACGGTTGGACTTGATCTTCTGCAGTGCGGCGTAAAAGAAGTCTGTGACAGATTTAGGGAAAAAGGAAAACTCCATCTTCTCCAAAATTGGAGCCATAAAGGGGAAGAAAGCTGGAATTAAGCAGAAAGCAACACATATATTATGGAAGCAGGGCAGACAGCGACTGCTAATATGCACAACACTGATATTCTACAATCCAGAGAAATGAAATAAATAGCTGTATTTTATGAAAGGAAATCTTTACCAACAATGAGGAAGACTGGACTAAAAAAGTCAAACTTGAGCATCTTCTTGATGTTTGCAACGAAAGGGTCTGAGGGGTTGTTGAGCGAGTCAATGTCGACACTGAAGGCTGTGCTGGTTACTACATCCATGCTGTAGGGGCCAAAGAACCTGAAGGGCAAACAGTCACGATGGTTAGCTTCATGCATTCTCTAGAATAACTTTAAACTAGTGGTGTAATGTGTCCTCACTCTTTAAGCTCTAAGGGCTCGTCCTTGTCTGCCTTTTTTTTCATGCTGCTGGTCAGGTTAGCGGAGTGGTGCTTCATGATGTCAAACATCTTAGAAACATCAGAAAAAACATATTTATTTAAATATAAATAGTTCTAAATAAGCTTGCAAGCCGCCTTCTGCAGTCTACTCTTGGTTAGAATCAGGAGGTTTAAACTGGTTCATCAGTCTAAATACAGCGTGTCCAGCTGATATTCTCTGTTACTCAGAGAGATCTCATTAGCTTTCTTTAAACCACCATTTAAAGGACCGCTAGGCTAAACTAGCTGTAATGCTAGTTCCACCCGGTGGAATTTTGCCTCTAAGATGATCAAATATGTGTAGTTTTGTGTTTAAAATAACAATAACAATTAAACAACAGTGTCTAAAATACACACTTTTTAAAGTGATTACTTATCACTTGTAAGATCTTTAGAAGAAAAACAAACATTCTTTAAAAACAACATTGTAACAACAACAACATTCATTAATCGCCATTAATCAAGATTAATACATTTCCAAATGTGCGATTAATTAGTACATTTTTTTAAATCTATTGACAGCCCTAATTCTTAACATCTGTTGCTCAGAGAGATTTCATTAGTTTTCTGCCCCCTTTCAGTTCTCAGTGTGGTTGAACCGTTCTACAGAGTTTTGTTCTGTACGTGAAAAACAAAAATGACTCTTACTATTATTTTAATTTTGTTATTGTGGTCAAATTTAAAAACAAGTGTTGCCTTTGATTGTACAGTTCAACATTCACTAAAGAGCAGAGGAGGTGCAGTGCAGGAGGACGCTGAACCTCTTTCAGTCTTCCTGAGGTGAAGGAGGGCGAGAGGACACTGCGGATCCTCTTCCACTGGTCATCCTCAGCGATGGACACGGCGTCGTACAGTTGCCCGTTCAGACGGAAGTTCTGGTACAAAGGAACACGTACAGATGATGAGGAGAGTCCAAGAAACAAGTGACTGGAAGTGTTAGTTAGTTTACTTACTCTGCGATTGGTGAAGAGAGAGTAACACTCCTTTATCAGAATAGTTTTGATCATGGCAGGATCAGTGATGCAAAGCACCGGCTGACGGCCATCAAAAATGCTAAAAAAGAGTAGAATAGAACGAACAATAATGAAACGCCAGGTGAGCTTTTTATGCAGAAATATCTTATGGAACTTGTAAAACAGAGACACTTTACATACACAGAGAAACGCACATTGCAACATGCAGACTTACCCCCATACGTTCCCATATTTCTTTGAGCAATCTTCGTCAAAGGTGGTGAATCCCTGTGTACAAGAATAATAATACAGATTATGAACTGTTTGTAGCTAATAGAGTGTCTAACTAAATATGTAGATCTATAGAACGAGAACCGCTACAATGCACATTAAAAATTTAAATTCTTCATAGCTGTTAGCCTTAAATAACAATGAAATATTTTTAAACACAGACGGATCACAGGAACAGAAAGCGGAAAATCGCAATGGTTGTTGTCCAAATGTAGGAACAAAATTGTGATACTCTCTTACAGGCTATTACAATAGTTCACCGAGAGATTTTTAACCTGGGAAATAAGATATTCTATAATATCTTTTGTAATGTTTTCTTGTTAGAGCGAGGTTAGTATATTATTAGTAAACGGGGCAAAATAAATGAGCCTTTTAACTCGACTATTGCAGAACGCTGTAAACCTGAAATACTGAAGTATGATTTAATCCACTTTGTTCTTTGCTATTCCTTCTTGAAAATGTGTCTACCAACCTTTCTATATGCCAGCATTGTGCCAAAGAAAGGGATTGGTTGGGGACCAGGGACGCCCAATTTCTTAAATATTCCAAAATTCCAGCAGACATACCTGTAAAACACCAACACACAGAAAGAAGAGAACCGATATGAATCACACAGATAAACACAGAGGAGATCCCTGGGGTGAATATTGTTCAACACTTACACAAAGAGCAGCGTGACGAGAGCCACCAGAAGGGTCCATGTCTCAGCGGAGAGAAAGAAGCCCATCTCTGCAGCTTCTCTGTCTTCTTTCAACGGGGGCTCAAGCTCCAGTAACACCGCAGATCACAGAGCAACAGCTTTTATCTGCAGCACTTCCCTTCTGCGTGACCCCGGGAAGTGTGTGAGAGTTTAACCAATGGCAGGTAGGCGGTGTCGTGTGAAACATTGATTTAAAGAGACCAAACAGCATTTCTGATTATGTAACTTTACAATAAAACTGCTTAAATAAACATGCGGTATATGATTACACAATAATACACAACATCTATATATTGATATACTTTATTCAAACATATTTAGTCACAATCTCTGCTAACACAAAAGTGTCCGGGCATGCCCAGGTAAGGTGTGTGTAGGTGTGTGTAAAGGTTAGAAACTCGAGCATTATGTGTTGTTGTTGCTGCACAAGAATGAGAGAGGCTAAAGTTCTGTGCCACACCTCCTCAGGTCAGAACTCTCTCAGGGACACACATTTCTTCACCATATTACATTACAATCCATCCAATGTTTTAAAAGGTATTTTATCCAGGTCTAGAACATTGTTATCCCTAAAACAACCCACTCTTCTACCTTTGTGTGTTTTCTGGTTGAAAGATCTGAGAAAATCTAAATCGGTGCGAATAGTTCCGTGACTAACACAATGGTATATAAAAAACTAAATTAGTAAGTCTCACAAGCTATAAAAAGACAGAGAAAACACACCATACAGGATTACAGTTGTTTATGTTGTTATTATATATTCACTGCTTTTAATGTGTGACTAAAATTGTGTTGTGTTTTATGCTTGTGGTGTACAGTTTATTTCTTTATATTTGTTGATTATAATGTAAAGTGTCTGATTACCGTGAAGAGCACTGTACGGATAAATGTATTATTATTAATATTATTATTATCCTACAGCTTGGGTGCCTGACCAAGATATTTAAAACTAGTTCATTTAAATGACAGGTCTGATTTAATACCACAGATTCATGCAAATAACCTGTATATAAAATGTATTTATATAGTGACTAAATATTATAGTGTGAGTGACCAAATATGACTGAATGTAAATTCATTTTCCCTTGTATTTTTAAACATTGTACTTTTTTAAAACCAAAATGTGCATCAAGCTTCTGTTGCACAACCACATTATGATCATTTGTGGCCCTGGTTAGGTGCATGTTGCTGTTCCAGTGATCAAATCACATATGAGAATGACAATGCTCATGAGAAAACCCCAAACTATAAACTAAAGAAATTATCCATTTTCCACTTAGTTGCACATTGGTAAAAGCTTTAATGGGAACAAAAGACGACTAACTGATGAAGATTTACATGCAGCTGTACATGTAGTGATACAAATGGAAATGTTGAAAACATGTATCTCGTTCTTTTTGTTTAGTTTTAGGATTCAACGTGACACCAGTTTAAGTTTGATTGGTCGCTTTGGCATCAGAAGATCCTGGACGTCCATCTCCAAAGGGATCTGGTGGGAAATTACACGTGAAGAGAAATAATTGTGAACAGAGTCAACAATCGATGAAAGATACAACAGCTTGCGGTCTCATAAAGAATCAAAAAAAGCTTCTGATCTTTGAGCACACGGATCTTTGCAGCAAACACGATTGGCTTGTTGTCTTTATAACCCTCATTATCCCAATTAATCTAGCAAATGATGAATTGTTTGACAGCAATACACAAACACCATAAAAGATGATTATTCATTCACCATAAAACAAATAGGATGATAATCAGTGTGGTCTCACCTCAGTCTCCTTACACACAGAGAAGCTGAACCTCTGCAGGTTCTCCACCATTGCTAGTTTCATCATCACCAGAGCAAATCGCATCCCAATGCAGTTCCTCGGTCCTGCCCCGAAAGGCATGTACGTGTAGGGGTCAATAGACTCCTTGTTTTCCTTGCTAAACCTGAAGATACACACACAACAAGGTTTAAATGACGCAACTGCAGAGTTCAGGGCTTTTCTGAATAAACGTACAAATCCCTTCTATACCTCTCAGGTTTAAACGCCTCGGGATCGGGCCACAGACTCGGATCCCGGTGCAGCGGCCACGTGGGAACCGCAACGACCATGTCTTTTGGAATCACAATGCCATTTATCTCCACAGTTGCCTTGGCCACACGCTCCAGACGTAGGATAATGGGGTACAACCGGAGAGACTCGTTGATGACGCTGTCCAGATACTCCATCTGCATCAGAGCCTGGTACTCAACAGGACCCTACTCAAGACACAGAGACAGGACAGGACGTCACTCTGTTATGTCGGGCCAGGTTAGGAGCTACAAGAATCCAGGAGGGAAAACAGTTGATTGAGTTACTGAAGTCTACTGACAAGACTGACACAGGTTAGAGTCAACAAAGAGTTAGCTTAACGCTTAGCATACTGGTCACTGGGCATCTTTGGATGCGCAGCGGTCGGAGATGTTTGTCTTACGTGTATTGAGACCGCTCATCACAACAGTAAGCAACTCCGTTACTTGTTACATGAAAACAGGGAAAAGAGCGATGCCAGAAGACCAACGAGAGACTAGAGATGCACCAACACAATTTGTGACCAAGAGATGAGCTGTGTGCGGTTTGGAGGATTTTTGGTTTTGAGGAATCCCACTTAAGTTAACGTTAGATCAGGAAACGATTAATTGCAAAGTTGGTCGAGGCACTGGTTTTGGCTCTGGTGGCAAGAATAGCAGCCACAACAGCTAACACGCTAACAAGCTAAGGCGCTAACTTGTCGAGCAGTTCCAAGCGCAGAGCGGTGTGAGCTGTTCAGGTGGCCGGCGTTCCTTTTCGAGGTCAATAAATGAATGTGTTTACTCAAAAAAAAAAAAACCTTGATATACCGGGATACCGTCACAGTCTTACAAAATACCGTGATATGAATTTTTGGCCGTACCACCCAGCCCCGGCCATGAACATGGGGAACAGCTACTGGTCATAAAAGACCCACAATTTCTTGCAATACGCTTATCCAGGCGCCCTAATAGCAAGAGTGATTACGCTGCATAATCATAAAGGCGCAAACTCCAAGACCTTCATACCGCCCCCGCCCTGGCCATGAACGTGGGGAACAGCTACTCAGACCAGGTCATTAAAAAAGACACACAATTTATTTATTCACGCTTATCCAGGCGCCCTGATAGCAGCGTGATCACGGTGCATCATCATAAAGGCGCAGACTCCCAGAGCTTTATACTCCTGGGTCAATTTCTGCCTGGCTGGATCGTTTGCTGCATGTCATTCCCAAACTCTAACTTTGTCCTCTTCCCACGCCAAACGCACCTTGTTCGGGAACGTGGAGTCGACCTCCTCTTGCAGCCGTTTCATGATGTGAGGGTTTGTGGCCAGATTGTAAGCCAAGAAAGAAAGAGTGCTGCTGCTTGTTTCGTAGCCAGCAAAGAGGAAAATCATTGCCTGAGAAAGGATCTCGTGATCACTTAAACCTGTGGAGGTAGCAAGGAGATAGATTTAGAATAGCTTTTAGTCTTTCTGTATGTGTGTGTACATGGCTGTGTGCGTTTCTCACCTTTATTTGATTCCTCTTTACTGAGGTCAATGTTTTTCTGGGAGTCAATCATCAACTGGAGGAAGTCCACTCGACTCTAAGAGTGGACACATATGAGGAGGACTGATTGTACTTCTGAATGTGCCGATGCAAAGAGATGTGGATGCACACGCACGGGCAGTCTCACCTTTTGCTCGCTGTGCACACGGTTGGACTTGATCTTCTGCAGTGCGGAGTAAAAGAAGTCTGTGACAGATTTAGGGAAAAAGGAAAACTCCATCTTCTCCATAATTGGACCCAAAAAGGGGAAGAAAGCTGGAATTAAGCAGAAAGCAACACATATATTATGGAAGCAGGGCAGACAGCGACTGCTAACACTGATATTTCTACCATCCAGAGAAATGAAATAAATAGCTGTATTTTATGAAAGGAAATCTTTACCAACGATGAGAAACAGAGGGCTTAAAATGTCAAACTTGAGCATCTTCTTGATGTTAGCGACAAAAGGGTCTGAGGGGTTGTTGAGCGAGTCAATGTCGACACTGAAGGCTGTGCTGGTTACTACATCCATGCTGTAGGGGCCAAAGAACCTGAAGGGCAAACAGTTACGATGGTTAGCTTCATGCATTCTCTAGAATAACTTTAAATTAGTGGTGTAATGTGTCCTCACTCTTTAAGCTCTAAGGGCTCGTCCTTGTCTGCCTTTTTTTTCATGCTGCTGGTCAGGTTAGCGGAGTGGTGCTTCATGATGTCAAACATCTTAGAAACATCAGAATTAAAAAAATATATATATAAATAGTTCTAAATAAGCTTGCAAGCCGCCTTCTGCAGTCTACTCTTGGTTAGAATCAGGAGGTTTAAACTGGTTCATCAGTCTATATACAGCGTGTCCAGCTGATATTCTCTAAACAAATTCAAACTCTACTAACCCTCCACTAACTTCTGATTTCTATTGTTCACGTTTTAAGAATGGCTTTGCTTCAGCAAAAAGCCTGGTAATGTTGTAGGCAGCATTATTGCGCGAGGGACACTGAAACAGGAAACTTTTCTTATTTATATCTGCAAACATTTGGATCCCAAGCTGTCAATGTATTTGACTGATGATTTTTTGTATTCTTCAACATCTGTTGCTCAGACAGATTTCATTAGCCTTCTGCCCGCTTCCGTCCTCAGTGTGGTTGAACCATTCTACAGAGTTTTGTTCTGTACGTGAAAAACAAAAATTACTCGTGTACCATAAGTGTACTTTTTGTTATTGTGGTCAAATTTAAAAACAAGTTGTGCCTTTGATTGTACAGTTCAACATTCACTAAAGAGCAGAGGAGGTGCAGTGCAGGAGGACGCTGAACCTCTTTCAGTCTTCCTGAGGTGAAGGAGGGCGAGAGGACACTGCGGATCCTCCTCCACTGGTCATCCTCAGCGATGGACACGGCGTCGTACAGTTGCCCGTTCAGACGGAAGTTCTGGTACAAAGGAACACGTACAGATGATGAGGAGAGTCCAAGAAACAAGTGACTGGACGTGTTTGTTAGTTTACTTACTCTGCGATTGGTGAAGAGAGAGTAACACTCCTTTATCAGAATAGTTTTGATCATGGCAGGA